CAGGGCAGGAAAGTTTGTGAGGATCTTGTTTCTAATTAACCACCAAAAAGGTAGAAGGGGATCTCTGGGTCAAGTGGCAGAGCACAAAAAGTTGGGGACAGTGCTCAGGCCCTGAGTTCAAGCCCCAGGACCACCACTCCCCACCCGACTCCACCCCCCAAAAAAGAGTGAAACCAAGAGAAAACCTGAGTAAACTGCCAGCACCACTTGCTTTTAGTCGAGCAAAACAAAAAACAAATTTAGAGAAACCTACTAAATTTAGAGGTCACACAGCTGAGCAATAAATTATTGGTCTAGCATTGTTAGAGATAAGCCTCTGATATGTGGGTCATGAGGACACCAGCTGTCTAGATTACTCTTCCTGAACTTGAAGGTCACTTTCTTTTTCTTTTTTAATACAAGGGGGTTGCTATGGAGCCAAGGCTGGCCTCAAGTTCCACAATCCTCCTGGATTTACAGGTATATATCAGTTCATTTCATTTGAAGCTCATTTTGGTTGAAATCCTTTACTTTTTGATATCAGAAAGTCAAAGATTTCACCCTCAGATTTCTGAACTCGAGTCTGAGGAAGAGATTTGAAGATTGATTACACTTGCACTGAACTCTGCTCACTTCAACCAACTTTCCCTGTTTCACACTACCTCCCTCCCTCCCTCCCTCCCTCCTTCCCTCCCTCCCTCCTTCCTTCCTTCTTTGGATCTTCCTATGTAGCCCAAATTGACTTAAATCCCTGCCTTTTCAGTGAGGGGATTACAGGCGTGTACCACCACACTCCACATTCAACCACTCTGGGTCTGTATCCCACAAGTACCTTTAAGCCCCATCCTCAATGAGGCCTAGTTTGTGACTTTGTTTCCACTCTCACATTCTTTTTCTTTTTCTTTCTTTTTTTTTGGTGCCAGTACTGGGACTTGAACTCAGAACCTGGGTGCTGTCTCTTAGTTTTTTCACTCAAGGCTGATGCTTTACCACTTGAGCCACAGCGTCACTTCCTGTGTTCTGGTGGTTAATTGGAGATAAGAGTCTCACAGACATTCCGTACCCAGGCTGGCTTTGAACTGTGATCCTCAGATCTGAACCTCCTGAGTAGCCAGGATTACAGGTGTAATTGGCACCAGGCTGCTTTTTTTCTTTTTTGCTCAGGGCTAGCACTCTACCACTTTGAGCTACAGGTCCCCTTGTGGTTTTTAGGTAGTTAATTGGAGAAAAAAAAAAGTCTCTCTGGCTTTCCTGCCCCAGGCAGCCTTCAAACCATGAACCTCAGAGCTTAGCCTCCTGAGGAGCCAGCATTAGAGTGAAGAGGTACTGGCGTTAGGAAAATGGAGGAGGAAGGAAACGTCCAGACTTGATCTTCAACAGGTTTGGACGGTTCTCTCCTTGCAGCAGCGAGGGGAGAGCAAGCTTCCCACAGGAGCAGAGGTCGTGCGAGGAGGTGAGCAGGAGCTAAGGTTATGTTGGGTCAGGTCAGGAGTAGTACCTGGCGCAACGGAGCAGGTTACGTCACAAGGGGCAGGTGGCTTATTGATAGCAAGTCAGGGGTAGGTGGGGACCCGTGGCTAGTCCTAGGATGTCTTACCTGGGACGTGGAACCTCCGGAATGAACATTTTACCCAGCATCAGGAGCTTCCTCATGCACCTGGGGTCATGAGACCCAGGTGAGTCCTCCATGCTTACAGCCTCTCCCCTGTGTCTGCCACTAAGGGCTCCCTAGGGAAGCCCCTTCATCTCCCCAATCTCTCTCCACCCCCATGTGTCAAATTCTCTCTGGCTAAAGCCTCTACCCTCCCCCCCCCATTAACAAGCCCTTTGTTTTTCCTTTACAAAACCCAGCCCAAACTTCACGTTATTGTTTACTGCACTAACTAATCTAAATGGTTATTTTTTTTATTACTATTAGGCAATGCACCTTATCATTTGTAGGAACCTGTCATAGCTTGTAAAAATGGGCAAAAGGAGAAAGTTGAGCGAAGCTGTGGCTCAAGTGGTAGAGTGTTCTTTGAGCAAAAGAACTCAGGGACAGAGTTTAAGCCCCACAGCTTAAAAAAAAAGAAAGAAAGAAAGAAAAGGAAAAAAAAAAAAGAGAAAGTTAAGTGAATCATCTCCAAATGTCACCTGTTCACAGCCAGCCAGGGGAGCAGCACTAAAATAATCATACGGGGCTGGGAATGTGGCTTAGTGGTAGAGTGCTTGCCTAGCATGCATGAAACCCTGGGTTCGATTCCTCAGTACCACATAGAAAAGGCCAGAAGTGGTGCTGTGACTCAGGTGGTAGAGTGCTAGCCTTGTGCACAAAGAGGCTCAGGGACAGTGCCTAGGCCCTGAGTTCAAGCCCCAAGATTGGCAAAAAATAAAAATAAATAATAATAATGATAAGGATGACATGCAAATGGAGACCTGAAGGTCTAGGGGATATGGAGAGGCTCAGGAAGACCCCCCCCCCCAAGGGCCCTGGGCTCCAGGGAGGGTACCCAAGGACAAGACCTGTGCTTAGTGGGCGGCCTAGGAAGCCTAGCCCGGGGAGGTTACTGCTCCTACAGCTAAAGCCAAGCTTTGCAGGGTGGTTACTGTCTTTGTAAGATTAAATATACAGGCCAGGTGCCAATGGCTCATGCCTGTAATCCTAGCTACTGAAAAGGCTGAGATCTGAGGATCGCAGGTTTGAAAGCCTTCCTAGTTCCCATATACTACTACATAAAAAGTTAGAAGTGGAGTTGGGGCTCAAGGGGAAGAGCTCTAGTCTTGAACAAAAATGAAGCCGAGTGCCGGTGCCTCAGACCTGTGATCCTAATTACTCAAGAGGCTGAGATCTGAAGATCATGGCTCAAAGCCAGCTCAGGCAGGAAAAGTCTGTGAGACGCTTATCTCCGATTACTCACCAGAAAACTGGAAATGGTACTGTGACTTAGAGTGGTGAACCGGCACTGTGACTTAAAGTAGTAGAGACTAGCCTTGAGCAAAAGTGTTGAGTGACAGAGCCTAGGCCCAGAGTTCAAGTACCATGATGAGAGGGAAGGGGAGGGGGGAGAGTGGTCAGGGAAAACACCCAGTCCCTAAGCAAAAATGGCCAGGGAAAATGACCAGGCCCCAAGACCAGGAAAAAAAATTTAAAAAAATAAAAAAATGAAACCACTGTCAGAATTACAGAAGTGGTTCACATCTATAGTCAGCAGGTTGAAATTTGAGGATCCCTGTTCAAAGCCAACCCAGGCAGATAAATTTGAGATACTTTTAGTTCCAATTTCTACTTCTGGCAAATAGCCAGAAGTGGAAATGTGGTGCAGGTGGCAGAGCACCAGTTTTGGATGAGAAAGCTAAGCGAGAATGTGAGACTGAGTTCAAGCCCCAGACTGAAATACACACTGCCAATAAAATAGAAGAAGTAGAGAGGAAGAGAGTGTTATACATTAGTTAAAATTTGGCCTAAAATGTTTTTTTTAGTATTTTTTGTTTTTGTTTTTTGCCAGTCCTGGGACTTGAACTCAGGGCCTGGGCACTGTCCCTGGGCTTCTTTTGCTCAAGGCTAGCACTCTACCACTTGAGCCGCAGCACCTCTTCTGGCCTTTGTTTATGTGGTACTGAGGAATTGAACCCTGGACTTCATGCCTGCTAGACAAGCACTCTACCCTAAGCCACATTCCCAGCCCTTGGTCTAAAATGGTGGTAAAGTAGTACAATATGTAGTAAAGTGTAGCCCTAGTATGGCTGTATGTGTGCTTGCATACACACACACATAAAAAAATGTATATACACACACAAATAAGTATAGGCATTAAAAGTGAAATAATATTGAAGTGATCTAGCTTAGTACTGGTAGCTCACACCTGTAATCCTAGCTACTCAGGAGGCTGAGATCTGAGGATCATGGTTCAAAGCCATCTGGGCAGGAAAATCCCTGAGACTCTTATCTCCAATGCACCTCAGAAAACCGGAAGTGGCGCTGTGGCTCAAGTGGTAGAGCACTAGCCTTGAGCTGAAGGGCTGAGGGACAGCGCCCAGGCCCAGAGTTCAGGCCCCATGACCAACTAAATAAACAAACAAATAAATAAAATTGAACTGACCTAAGGTCAGATGCCTCCTAGACCGAGGCCTTCCTATCTTTTCTGGCCTAACCTGTGTAGGCTTCCCAGGCTCCCTGACAACCTGGGCCCCACCCTGACTTCCTCTGACTTCACACCACTATGCCCAGAACTTGAGGCCCTGTGTCTGTCCCGTTGGTCCCCACCTCCAAGGCCTATAGGTTTCCAACTTCCCCTCTCTGCCTGGCCGGCGTCACACTGCAGAAACCCAGCGCTCACCCCTGCCGCCTGCCTCTCTGAGCACCAGGAGCTGTCACTCGTGGTGGTTACTGAGCACCGGCTATGTCTGGGCTCTGTGCTGGCTGCGGGAATGTTGAGGACCTCAAAGCAGACAGGCTGCTGCCCTTGGGGAGCCCGCAGCCCACGGGGGTCCCACGGGGGTGGGGTGGGCAGAGAGTGCTTGCGGGTCATGGGTCGGGGCCTGTGGACCTGACCGACACCTGAGTTAACCAATGCACCGTGCACAGCGGCTGGCCCGCATACAACACCGGCGCGTTCAAAGGCCCGGCGGCCTCGCCTGGCCGGCGCAGCACCCGCAGAGGCCCAGCTCTGCAGTCAACAGGCCCGGGAGGGGCGCGAACAGAGGTCAGGCCCTGAGGTTCAAAGGTCGGACCGCTAGGCTTTTATTTCGGGGCTTATCCAGAGGGACGCCATCTTGATCCTTTCCAGGGAGCACACGCGGCCCAGAGCAGGCCAGTGTCCCGCCCGAGGCCACACTGCAGCCTGAGACCAGCGGGTGCGAGGCGGGCCGGGTCCTGACGCCTGGCGGCGGCGCGAGCACCTCCGCCGCTCTGGCCCGGGCGGAAGTGGGCGGGGCGTCTCCGGGCCCGCCCCCATCCCGCACGCTACTGGCTGGTCGCGGTCTGGCTCCGCCCCCGAGGCGACGCGAGGGGCGTGTCCGGGGCGGCAGTGGGGCGGCGGCTGACGGACTCGGTGGTGAAGGAGCGAACCCGGGCTGCGCCACCACCGTCGCCGCCTCCACCGTCGCCGCCTCCACCATCGCCGCCTCCACCATCGCCGCCTCCACCATCGCCGCCTCCGCCGTCACCATGGGGGCCCAGCTGAGCACGGTAAGCGGGAGCGGCGCGGAGGCGGGCGGCGCAGAGACCCGGAGACACTGGGCGCCGGCGCCGGGGGCCGGGGGGCCGCGAGGGGGCGGGTCCTGCGCGGGCCCGTGGAGCTCGGGGCGCCCTCCCCCACTCCCGGGACCCCGCACCTCCTCGCCCGCCACGCACGCCGCGGGCCCGGCGTCTGCGGGGCGTCTCCTCCCCGCGCCCGCCCCGCCCCGGCCCTGCCCGGCGCGGGCGGCGCCCCGCGGGCGGTGACTCACGGGGCCCCCGGCGGGGCCGGGCCGGGGCGGGGCTCGGGGCCGCCGATGGGTGTGCGCGGGCGCACGGCCGAGGGGGAGCCACAGGTGTGCCCGGGCGTGCAAGCGCGACGGGAGAGTGAGGAAGTGCGTGTGGCCAAGCGCGTGCCTGTGTGGCCCGCATGCGAGCAGAAACCCGCGTGCACGCAGACACGCGCGACTGTGTGTGCATGGTGTGAGGACCTGTGCGGAAGCGTGCGGGTGTGACTGCGAGCGTCCACGACGATGAGTGTGTGGCCGGGCATGGGGGCTGTGACCTGAGGATCATGGTTCAAAGCCAGCCTGGGCAGGAAAGTCGGTGAGACTCTTATCTCCAGTGAACCATCAGAAAGCTAGAAGTGGGCTGGGGAGGTGGCTCAGTGGTAGAGTGCTGGCCTGGCACGCATGAAGCCCTGGGTTCTATTCCTCAGTATAGAGAAAGCCAGAAGTGGCACTGTGGCTCCAGTGGTAGAGTGCTAGCCTTGGCAAAAGAAGCTCAGGACAGTGCCCAGGCCCTGAGTTCAAGCCTCAGGACTAGCAAAAAAAAGTTAAAAATGGAAGTGTGGCTCAAGCGGTAGAGCACCAGCATTGAGTTTAAGCCCCTGTACTGGCACGCACACACACAATGAGTGTTGAGGACATAGAAGTGGGAAGGTGTGTCATGTGGGGGTGGTGTTGCTGGACCAGGAGATTGGCCACATCTTGTTTTTTTTTTTTTTTTGGGTCCGGTCGTGGGTCCTGAACTCTGGGCCTGAGCGCTATCCCTCAGCTCTTCAGCTCAAGGCTAGCGCTCTACCACTTGAGCCACAGCGCCACTTCCAGCTTTTTTCTTTTTGCTTATGTGGTGCTGAGGAATCGAACCCAGGGCCTCAGGCATGCAAGGCAAGCGCTCTACCACTGAGCCAACTTCCCAGCCCCTGGCCACATCTTGTCACAAGGAGAATGCTGGTGGCAGGACGTGCTGTAGCCCCGCTGTCACTGCCCTGCAAGGAGGAGCTCTGGCTACCCTGCAGCTCACAGAAGCCGCGTGAGGCTGGGCCAACAGCCCCCTAGAACTCTCCTGACTTGGTCTCCAGCCTGCAGCACTGAGGAAGCCAGGCCCTGACTTTCTGGCTCTGGGGGGGGGGGGGGGGGGCGTGCCGCGCTACCTTCTGTCCCAATTTCTCTAAGGCAGCTGGGTCGGGGTGACACACACCCTGGCTCCTGGGTGTTCTGCTTGCTGGAGTGGGAAGGCCGCCTGGGAAGGATTAGGCTAGCACTGCCTTGGGAGGCCCTGCTCCTCCCTCTCTCCCTCCCTCCAGGGCCTCTCCTTCTACTGCCTCTAGAGGTTTCTTGACAGGCCTGGCTAAGAATGTGGCTAGCCCAGATGCCCCGTCCCCTTCCCTTGGGGCCATTCAGTCCCAGGGACCTAGCCCAGGGCACACCTGAGGCATCACCCAACCCCAGAGTTAACAACTTGGCTGCCAGAGACAGCCCTGTAAACTTTCCTAATATAAATGCTGTCAGTTTGAGGCCCCTCCCAACCCTGCTTTTTGGGGTGACTCACCTGGCTGGAGCTGGTCGCTGTGTCACTGCCTCCGGCACTTGGCTGTTCCGTGAATGTTGACCAGTCCTTGGTCTAGGGTCAGGAGACCACCAACCCTGGCTTCCCTCTGCCCATCGGGAGCCTAGGATTGCCCCTGCCTGTGGCCCTGCTTGGCCCCAAGTGCCCACAGCCCACTCAAGCAGAGAGGGATCCGGCGGCTCCGTGTGCCCTGTGGGTCTGGCGGCTCCGTGTGCCCTGTGGGTCTGGCGGCCCCTGTGCCCTGTGGGTAGCCCCTGGGCTTCTCCATCAGACATCTTATCTAGGCGTTGCAGGCCTCGGGGAGGTCCCCAGGACTTGGTACTCGACTCTGTCAGCCATCTGGGGAGAACACTGGGGGCTTGGCCTGCCATCCTGCATCATCAGCCAAGAGTGCCAGGCCCTGACAGAACCACACACAGGTAGAGTGTAACAGCCGTTTCCAGCAGCCCTTGGCAGCTCCATGCCTGGTTGGTGGCAGACTCCCTGGACCCAGGGAAATAGCTGTGTCTCCTTGGGCCCTGAGGAAGGCTGCTCAGCCATCCACCTGTGTCTAGTCCTGGGTTTCCTTCCCCCTAGCTCCTAGCCTAGCCTGGAAGCCTGCTTACCGCAGGACTTCCTTCATCCCCTCCCACTTCCTCCACTTGGGACTGGGAACGCAGGAAGGTGGGTGCGCAGATCTTGGCCGGACAGCAGGCAGTAGGAAGGTAAGTGAGGCATTGCCTGGGCTTTGCAGGCCCCCGGGTCAGAGAGCTGGCACTGGAGAGGAATGCCAAGGCTGGGCAGGGTGCCCTGTGGGTGGGGAACGGGCTCTGTGGCCCTGGCCTCTGAGTGAGCTGGGGACTCCCTGCAATGCCCGGGGACCCTGGCACCCATCTCCTTCAGCTCCGTGTTGGCAGAAGGAGGAAGGCAGGGTGGCTGCCTGGCTGGGCAGAGCAGGGCCTGCAGGGCGACAGTTGGGGCAGCTGGGAGCAGCTGCCTCAGTGCCCCCTGGTGGCTGGGGTGATCGCCCAGCTGAGGAGGAGCTGGGCACTGCCTTGGCCTCTGCACCTGCCTTCTGTTTACTTGCCCATAGCTGGCGGGGCAGGGGTGGAGCTGGGGATGGGGATGGGGCCTGAGCCTGTGCTTCCCACATACCCCACTCCCGCATGTCTGGTCTGGCTTCAACTTTTGGAGACCAAGCCATCAGCCTTCCTTGCTCCCGGTCATGCTGGGTCCCGCCCTCCACCAGCTGTGCTCTCCACACCCCCCACCCCTGCTTTCCCATGTTGGGCTGCTTACCCCATGGGCCCCCTGCATCAAGCACATTGAAGTGCCCATTGGGGTGTGTAGACTGGGTGACACAGCAAAGTCTGGCCACAGCGGCCTCACCAGATAGGAATTTTTGTTTGTTTGTTTGTTTTTTGGTCGGTGTGGGGCTTGAACTCTGGGCTTGGGTGCTGTCCCTGCACCCTTCAGCTTGAGCCACAGCGCCATTTCCGGTTTTCTAGTGGTTTATTGGAGATAAGAGTCTCACAGAGGTTCCTGCCTGGACTGGCTTTGAACCCCGATCCTCAGATCTCAGCCTCCTGTAGCTAGGATTATAGGTGTGAGCCACTGGCGCCCGGCTCAGATAGGAGTTTTTATACAGAGAAAGTCCACCTCCTCCATTTCAGTGGTCAGGTTCACACCTGTCTCCAGAGCCTTGGTTTCTCCATCTGAGATGTAACAACAGTAGCATCTCTCCATCTCAGCCTGAGGGCTAAGGGAGGCATCGGGCAGAGTGCCCGCTTTTGCTCTGTGCCAAGAATGCCTGTGTCCCCAGCCTGTGTCCCCAGCAGATGCCTGTGTCCTCAGTGGATGCCTATGTTCCCATAAATGCCTGTGTCCTCAGTGGATGCCTGTGTTCCCATGAAAGCCTGTGTCCTCAGTGGACGCCTGTGTCCCTGGGTCTCAGGGGGCCAGGCTGCCTCTGAGAACCATCCAGGGGCTAGGGTGTGTCAGACAAACAGGATGGGCAGAGCTCCACCCTCACTCGGGAGCCATGTGGGCTCTTGCCTTCGTTCTGGAAACTTCCAGACAAAATAACCAACAGAGGGACAAGGGGTAGGGACTGTTATCCCTAACTCATTCCACAAATATCTGCCAGTGCTTCCTACAAGGAACTCACCGCCCAGCTGCTGCTGGTGACAAGATTCACGTGCGGGACCCCACCACCCGCAGAGCCCCTGACACCCGTGGCTCTGCCTGGCCTGCACTTACCACAGGCTGGCGTTTGTAGGCTTGGGGCTGATAGAAAAGTGGGCTGTAAAGTCCTAGCCTTCCCTGAGCCTCATTTGTCCTCTCATTTGTGCACTGAGGCTGTAGGTGGTGTCTGTGTCCCCACTTGGGTCCGGCCGGGGTGGGGTGGGGGGCTATGCTGTGGAACTGGCCTGCCCTTGCCCAGCTGTGCTGGGCCTTCCTTCACCCTTGTCCCCAAGCTGTGGCCCCTGGGGTGTGACCTCCTGTGCAGAGAGCCTTCTGTGGGGTAACCCCCCAGGGGCTCAGTGAGGGGCTGGCTGCACAAAGTCCCGGAGCCCAGATAATTATGGGGGAGGGGCTCTGTGGGCAAGCGGGCCCCCAGCTGGGCTTTGAAGGTAGAATGGGGGTCTGCGCACTCGGGGGAGGGGTGGAGGCTCAATGCCAAGCAGGCTTGACCTGCGGGAGCTTGAGGGCTCTGGGTGGAGCTGCAGAACCAGGGCTGGAGGGTGGCTGGAGGCCTTGTGGGGCGGGGAGGGGTGAGGCTACCTGTGTATTGGCAGAGGCCAGGCTCAGGCCTCGCTGCAGGGGGCAGGATATCGGGTTTGGGACTGGGGCACCGGGCCCTTGTGTCTGCAGCTGGCATGGAAAGAGCGGGACTGGATTGGACCGGAGCCACATCCTGGTCCCACTCCAGCACATTCAATCTCTGAGGCCGCAGGGTGACCCGGAGCAAGGGCAGGTGACTTCCCTCTGCCCCAGTTTCTCTTCTGTAACTCCGTGAGCTCCACACCCCGGGGCTGATGTGGACGACTTGGTAGATGGGTGTCTTTGTAGATGGGTGCCGGCTGGGGCCATGGTCTTTGTCCATTCCTGCCCTTCCTCCCTAGCCCGAGGCGGCCAGTCCAGAAGTCCAACCCCGAGGTCCCGATTGCCCAGACTACTGTGATGAGCTGTGGTCACCCAGCACCAAGTGGGCGGGGTGTGGGTGGGGGGAGTGCCCGGCCGGTCCTCCGTCACGTCAGACCCTCGGGCCACATACCAGAGGCCCCATGGGGTGTGGCCTGGTTCACACCCTGCTTAGACTGCCAGAGAAGCTTTGTTCTGAACCTAACAAAGGCCCAGGGACTTGGCCCGGGAGTTGGAGCCGCTGGGCCCGTCTGGGGCAGGGCCGGGCCTGGCTGGCCTCCGAGCATCGCTGGGGAGACACTGCGCGCACCTGCGCCTCTCAGGTTGCAAATGCCTCCCTGACCCGGGCCCTTCTCATCCCCTCAGACTGAACTGTGGGGGCTGGGGTGGGGCTGGGCCCCCGCAGAGGCCGGGCCTGGAGAATCTATCACACAGCAGAGCCCACCATGGAGCAGACTCCTGAGCCAGGAACTTGAGCTTCCTGTCAGCGGAGGAGAAAAGAGCTGGAGATCTGGATAAGAACACATGGGGGTCACTGGCAGAGAGGAAAGTCAGAGGGCTGGGAAGTGGCTCAGTGGTAGAGCGCTTGCCTTGCATGCATGAGGGCCTGGGTTCGATTCCTCAGAACCACATAAGCAAAGAAAAAAGCCGGAAATGGCGCTGTGGCTCAAGTGGTAGAGTGCTGGCCTTGAACTGAAGAGCTGAGGGACAGCGCCCAGACCGAGTTCAGGCCCCATGACGGGACCCCCCTCCCCCCCAAAAAAAGACAGGAAAGTCAGAGAGAGGTAGCGGGTGCGTGAGAGCTACATTAGCTTAGTTTCGTGGTCACTCCTCCTGGCTTGCTTGTTTTTTTGTTTTTGCTTTTGTCGGTGTGGGGCTTGAACTCTGGGCCTGGGCGCTGTCCCTCAGCTCTTCAGCTCAAGGCAAGCAAGCACCTTACCACTTGAGCCACAGCACCACTTCCAGTTTTCTGGTGGTTCATTGGAGATAAGAGTCTCACAGACTTTCCTGCTTGGGCTGACTTTGAACCATGATTCTCAGATCTCAGCCTCCTGAGTAACTAGGATTGCAGGCGTGAGCTACCAGTGCCCAAGTCGCTTGTTATTTTGAAATTTCAGTTACTGTAAAGATGCGGGAATGTCAACAGTTTCCTCATGTCTCTCTGTAATGTGTGCGCGCGTGTGTGTGTGTGGGGGGGGGACACTTCACTTTGCCCTGAATGCCCCAGTGTTTACCTCCTCAGGGAGAGACCCCCTTTTGCACACCCCTGAGTGAATGATGGGTCAGGAAAGCATCATGGACATAACATTGAGGTCTTGTTCACACGCCCAGTGTCAGCCACACCTTTACAACTGTTTGGGTCTGGTCTGCTATCTGTGGAAGCGCAGGTGGAGACCTTCAGTCATTCTGCCCCTGGCCTTGAGGCTTATGCCATAAACCACTACAAACTGGCAGCTTGAGACAGCAGAAGGGAACTTTCTCCCAGGTGCCACGCCAGACATCCAAGGTCAAGGCAGCAGCCGGGGAGCCTCCACTCCTGTGTGCTGTGTGACCTTGGCTGGTCACTTAGCCACCCTGAGAAAGCCGGGAGACAGTGTTAGTGGCTGGAATGTGATGCTCGGTGGGTTCTGAGTTGGAGTTATCACCTGTTTGTTTATCTAAATAAAGCAAGAACTGACTAAAGGAAAGCAGAAAAAAAAAAAGGAGCAGAGTCACAGTGTCAAGATTAATTTACTCTGAGCTTCCTGTCAGCCGAAGAGAAAAGAGATATGTGTTCAGATGCATAACTTTTAAAAGTCCTTGATCTGAGATAAACGGAGCTTTTTCAGGACCATTTTTCTCACGGTATCCAACACAGTGGCGGGTGAGTGGGGTCACAGCCTCATCTCGGTAGCTTCTCAAAGCCAGTGATTCACACAGAGATAGGAGAACGGGGACAGGGAGCGGGTGTTCTCAGCAGAGCCTGGAGGTGTCCGGATGGGTGAACTGGCATCTGAGGCGGGCTCCTTCCTCCCCGGCTCACCTGGAGGCCCCCTGTCATTTCAGTTGGGGTCCGTGGTGCTCTCGCCCGTCTGGTTCCTCTACAGCTTGTTCATGAAGCTGTTCCAGCGCTCCTCGCCCGCCATCACCCTGGAGAGCCCCGACATCAAGTACCCGCTGCGGCTCATCGACAAGGAGGTGAGGACTGGCACCGCGGTGCCCGGGCCAGCGCCTCCTCCCACACCCGCGCTGTTCCCCGTGTTAGCTGACACCACGTGGGGGTGACGGGCTCAGACGCAGTCTCTGATGCGCTCGCGTCCCACTGGAAGCCCACATGAGTGGCGGCCCCTCAGGACTTTGGGGCCCTCTCCCCACTTAGCAGGAAAGGCTGCTGAGTGATCCTGGTTAGGCCTGGACCTGTGTCAGCCTCTGTGGCCTTGGGTGCCCCCCCTCACCCCTAGGTGGCGCTCTTCCGGCCCAGCCCTATGATGGCGTCTCAGACCACCTCCTCTCCTGCCGCTGCCCCCGCCAGGCTGCTTCCTTCCTTAACTCCCCTCCAAGGCTGCCTCCCCCTAGACTATTTCTGGCCACTCCAGTTGCCTGCAGGGGGCGTGGCAGGAAAAACTGAGTCACAGCAAAGAAAGCCATCGGCTCTCAGCCAGCCAGGCCTCTACCCTGCCCTGTGCCCAGCAAGTCCAGCCCACATCCCTGCAAGGCACTGCGCAGACCTCCCCGGGAGGGCCGGCCGGAGTCCCAGGGACTCCTAGAAATGGGGGAAAGTTCCAAACAAAGGGAGTCCCTCCCCTGGAGACCACGCCTGCCCTAACCTTACTGTCCACACTGTGGCATAGTGTGTTTAAGCCTGGTTTGTTTTTCTGTGTAGGTTCTGGGGCTTGAACTCAGGCCCCCATGCTCTCCTTTAAAGCTAGGACTCCACAGCTCCACTTCCCACTTTTGTGTGTGTGTGAGTGTGTGTGTGTGTGTGTGTGAGTGAGTGAGTGAGTGTGTGCGCACGCACTCGCTAGTCCTGGGACTTGAACTCAGGGCCTGAGGGCTATCTATCCCTGAGCTTTTTTCTCCTAAGGCTAGTGCTCTAGTGCTTTGAGCAACAGCTCCATTTCTGGCTTTTTGGTGGTTCACTGGAAATGAGAGTCTCAGGGATTTTCCATCCTTGTCTGACTTTGACTGCGATCCTCAGATCTTAGCTCCTGAGTAGCTAGGATTACAGGCGTGAACCCCCAAAGCTCCTGGCTCATTTCCACCTTTTTTTTTTTTCCATGCTGGTGTTGGGGCTTGAACTCAGGGCCTGAGCACTGTCCCTGAGCCTTTTGGCTCAAAGCTAGTGCTCCACCCCTTGAGCTACAGTTCCACTTCTGGCATTTTCAGTGGAGATAATCTTACAGACTTTACTGCCCAGGCTGGCTTCAAACATCAATCCTCAGATCTCAGGATTACAGGTCTCTAGGATTACAGGTATGAGCCGCAGCGGCCCGCAGCCTGGTTTTTTGTTGTTTTGTTTTTGTTTTTTTGAGTCTGCGCTTTTATTAGCCTCAAATAGCTATATAAGGGGTTTCATATAGTTGTAGCCATACATACAGTGTACCTTCATCTCCCTCATCTTCTCTCTCTCTCCTGCCCTGCTTTGTAACCTTTTTTCAATGTTCTTTCCTTTGTTACTAGTTTTTAATTGTAGAACTAAGGGGTGATTGTGGTGCTCACTATAAATATTCACTGTGAGAGCTGGAAATGTGGCTTTGTGGTAGAGTGGTTGCCTAGCATGTATGAAGCCCTGAGTTCCATTCTGCAGTACCACATAAACCAAAAAAGCCAGAAGTGAAGCTGTGGCTCCAGTGGTAGAGCGCTAGCCTTGAACAAAAGAAGCTTAGAAGCCGGGCACCAGTGGCTCATGCCTGTAATCCTAGCTACTCAGGAGGCTGAGAGCTGAAAATCTCGGTTCAAAACCAGCCCGGGCAGGAAAGTCCGTGAGACTTTTATCTCCAATAATCCACCAGAAAACTGAAGTGGTGCTGTGGCTCAAGCGGTAGAGCGCTCACCTTGAGCTGAAGAGCACAGGGACAGTGCCCAAGCCCAGAGTTCAAGCCCCATGACCAACCAAAAAAGAAGAAGAAGAAACTTAGAGACAGTGCCCTGGCCCTGAGTTCAAGCCCCAGGTCTGGCCAAAAAAAATTCATTTGTGTAATGTGAGTGGCCCCTCCCCCATCCCACCACTGCCGCGCTCAGAGGCCCGTGGAGGGAGCCCAGCCGCGCCAGGTCTGCTTCTGCGTCGCACATGCGCACAGGGGCAGGGGTGTGCACACCTGAAGCCTGCCACTGTCCCCACAGAGGCCTGGTGCTGGCTGGTCCAGGCCAGCAGCCGGGCTCCCCGGGGCGCCTGCCAGGGCCTCTGGCTTGCAACACCGTCCCTCCTTTCTGGTCTTCCGAAAATGTCTGATAGCGAGGGTCCGACCTTGATCCACAGGACCGATCAATAGTCCTGGACTCTGCTCCTGGGGCCTTGATGCTTTGTCTGCCGCTAGCACAAAGGTTCTGGGGAGGCAGCCAGAGGCCTGGGTCTTGGGGGAAAATGGCCACTGCAAGTCAGGGCCTCCCTGGCACTACCTCCGCTCCATCACAGCCTCCCCGGAACTTCCAGTCACCCTACATGGCAGCCGCTGTGTGCTGCAGAGGACACTCTCCAGCTCGTGCTGTTCTGCCCGTCTGTGGGTCTTGGCTTATGTGTGAGCAAGGCCTACAGCCGCCTGCCTGTCTCCTGGCCAGGCTCGTACCAGCAGTCAGGGCGCTGGTGCTGGTCCTGGCTCTGATTGCTCACTGTACAGAGTCTGTCTGCATGGCTCCAGGGTCTACCTGCTGACCACGTCTTGTGCCAGCCTGGGCAGGCCGTGGGCACTGGCCTCTGGCCAGATGCGGGCTTTCCAAGGTGGCAGTGAGCCCACAGCCCACTTGTCAAGGAATTCCAAGTACAGAGGCTTCCAGAACTTTCTCTCCTGGCCAGGGCCTAGTCAGGTGTGGCCTTGTCTCAGCTCTGTCCCATTGAACGCCTGTCCATGCTGAGGAGCTGCCCCCCTCCCCCCTTCTAGGACGTCTGGACTCTTCTCATCGTGGGACTGTGGATGGGGTCGCTGTTCCTCAGATACGTGGGGGCGTGCGCCCCTGCGTGCCAGCAGCCTCATTTCCCGTGGAACACGGGGGGCGGGCATGGGGTGGGTGGCCCCCGCCCCGTGAGCCCTCAACAGCTCTGGCCTCCTCCCCGCAGATCCTCAGCCACGACACTCGGCGCTTCCGCTTCGCGCTGCCCTCCCCCCAGCACATCCTGGGCCTCCCCATCGGTGAGTCCTGTTCCCCCCTTCTGCCCCCCCCCCCCGCCAGCCAGGCCAGAGAGGTGGGCAGAGTGGGGGAGGAGGAGGCCTTGAACGGTGGCCTCCGCTAGGAGGGGAAGGCCCGAGGTCCCCGCTGGTGGCACCTGCACATCCGAAGTCAAGTTCTGGGACATGTGGGGATCCCCCCCCCCCGTGGGAGGTGGTTGGGGAGCAGAACCTGCAGTGACCCTGCTGCACCCCACAGGCCAGCACATCTATCTCTCTACTCGCATTGACGGGAACCTGGTCATCCGGCCCTACACCCCGGTCTCCAGTGATGATGACAAGGGCTTCGTGGACCTGGTGGTCAAGGTGAGGGTTAGAGCGTATTCGACTTTGCCACGCAGACATCCAGGTACAGCGAACAAAGAAAAGGTTGATTGCTGGTGAGGGAGCCGGCAAGACCCTTTCCCACAAGAGAGGAGTGAGAAGCAGCCCTGGCTTTTTTTGTTTTTTGGGGGTCTGGTCTTGGGGCCTGAACTCTGGGCCTGGGCGCTGTCCCTCAGCTCTTCAGCTCAAGGCTAGCGCTCTACCACTTGAGCCACAGCGCCATTTCCGGCTTTTTTTTTCTTTTTGCTTATGTGGTGCTGAGGAATTGAACCCAGGGCCTCAGGCATGCAAGGCAAGCGCTCTACCACTGAGCCACCTTCCCAGCCCAGCCCCGGCTATTGTCTGAGGTGACCTGTATACCCTGCTGAAGCTAGGAGGGGCTAGGAGTGCAGACCCCAGTGTGGAGGTGAGGGCCAGGGGCTTCATCATGGTAGACTAGGATCTATGGCTGCTGCCCGAGTAGTAGATAAGGGTCCTGAAGGTGCCCAGAGCTGAAGGTCACTCTCAGGGGCTCTTGCTGCCTTATAGGGTGGCAGCTGCCCAGAGGAGTGCCATCCCAAGGCAAAGGGGGCTGGAGGCTGAGTATTTACTGCCTTTACTACATGGGTCTAGTGTTGCCTAAGAAAGGAGCGTGCCAAGCTGTGGAGCGGGGAAGGAGCGTGCTAAGCACGGGAAGGGAGCTCACCGGGCTAACAGTGAGTCCCCAGGGCTGGGGCGGGGAGGCGGGTGGGGGTGGGGTATATGAGGCATGCCCAGGAAGCAAGGTGAGGCCCCAGCGGGCATCAGCAGGTGAAGGGAAGAGGCGTGAAGGCCCAGAGGGCACCTAGAGGGGTGGACAGGAGGAAGGAGCAGTCAGCAAGGCCATCTGGACCTTGGCAGCCACGGCCTGGTCTGGCACCTTGTCCAGAAGCAAAGAGGAGATGGTGAGGGACAGAGCACCTGTGGGTGTCAAAGCCACCCAGAGGGAACGGGGTGGGGGGGACACGGGGGAACGCATGGCCATACCCCTCCCTGTGCTGTGGCCAGGGACCCCCGACCCGAGGGTCGGCACTGCCCCTCCCGGCCAGCCTCTGTCCCCGTCCCCCTCCAGAGAAGCCAGCCCAGCCCTGGGCAGGGCGCAGCTGCCCTGTCTCCCCATCTCCGCGGGCGGTGGGGTCAGAGCCCCACTCCCTTCCCAGGGCGGCACCCCCAGGGACGGGAAGGGAGCTGTTCCAAGAAGGGAGATTTTATTTTTTTATTTTATTTATTTTTTTTGTCGGTCGTGGGGCCTGAACTCTGGGCCTGGGTGCTGTCCCTCAGCTCTTCAGCTCAAGGCTAGCGCTCTCCCACTTGAACTACAGCACCACTTCCACTTTTTCTGCTCATGTGGTGCTGAGGAATCGAACCCAGGGCCATATGCATGCAAGGCAAGCACTCTACCACTGAGCCACCTTCCCAGCCCCGAGATTTTATTTTTTGTTGGTCTTGGGGTTTGAACCCTGAGCCTGGGCACTGTTGCTCAGCTCTTCAGCTCAAGGCAGGTGCTCTACCACTTGAACCACAGCACCACTTCCAGTTTTCTGGTGGTTAGTTGGAGATAAGAGTTTCACAGACTTTCCTGCCAGGGCAGGATCCTCAGATCTCAGCCTTCTGAGTAGCTATGATTACAGGCGTGAGCCACCGGTGCCTGGCTAGAGGGGGATTTGACAGCCACACAAAATGCAAAGCCCTGAGCAACCTGGGGGTATGGCTGGGCCCTGCCAGGGCCTCTGCTGCGCTAACTCCCTTGTGGGTCCCTGAGCTGAGTCTGGGGCATCTGTGCCCACTGAGCCCTCTGGCTGGCTTCTTGTTGCTCCAGCCAGGGTTCTGTTTGAGAGGCGTTGTGAGTGCCAAGTTGTGGGGGGCAGGACGTGGACTGTGGGGTGCCATGGACAAGGCCACACGCGGCCTGCCACTGTGGTCAGGGCTTGCCTCAGACCTGCGCCGGAGATGAGGCCGGAACGTGTGTCTCCTCGCAGGTTTATTTCAAGGACACGCACCCCAAGTTCCCGGCCGGAGGGAAGATGTCACAGTACCTAGAGAACATGAAGCTGGGCGACACCATTGAGTTCCGGGGCCCCAACGGGCTGCTGGTCTACCAGGGCAAAGGTGACCCGGGTGGGGGTCCCCAAGACTGGAGAGCTAGCACCCCAGGTGTCCACCCGCCCGAACCTGCTCTGTCCTCTCAAGCCTCGGTCTCCCCTTCTGCCCTCTGGGGCTCACCCACCCCAGGGTTGCTGACCAGCCACTCTTGGGAGCCCCTCACGCACCCCACAGAGCCCTCACCCAGCAGCACAGTGCCTGATACAGGCAGAAGGCCTGAGGGGAGCCGTCGCTCACTACCCCCTCGCCCCAGTGGCTCCTTGTGGGGTCCCAGGTCCCCCACCTTCCTGGGACCTCCAGGCCCCAGCAAAGTGTGTCTGGGTGCCGTCTCACCCCTCTTCATCCTTCAGGGAAGTTTGCCATCCGTCCAGACAAGAAGTCCAACCCCGTCATCACGACGGTGAAGTCTGTGGGCATGATCGCAGGGGGCACAGGTAAGGCCGAGCCCGTGAGGTCTGGTCAGGCTGTAGCAGGCCCAGGGCCCTGTATCCTAGCACCGGCCTGTGAGGGGGCTGGTCGCAAGTGCTCACGGGATGCCCGGTCCCCTTCTGCAGGCATCACGCCAATGCTGCAGGTGATCCGTGCCATCATGAAGGACCCGGATGACCACACCGTGTGTCACCTGCTCTTTGCCAACCAGGTGAGTGGACAGGGCCTTGACAGCTCAGTGGCGATGCCAGGTGGCAGGACTGAGGCGTGGCTGGTGTGCTGAGCTTTCTCTGCACTCCAAGCCCAGGACTCTGTGCCAGCCTGCTGCGTGAAAGGCGGAGCTGTCCCCCGCGGGCGACACCCCTCCTCTGAACAAGCCGGTGGCTGGGTGTCACAGGGCTTTTTCGGGTTCAGGATTTTGTGACTATGTGAGTTTGATAATGAAGTCTCATTGGGGAAGCTGCTGCCCGCCCGCCCCTCCCCCTCCGCCACTTTGCCCAATAGGGCTCAGGCCCTGGTCAGACATGGTTCAGCCATCTGACAGGTGCTAAGCCCCCGGGGAGGTCCCTGGTCCTCAGCACAGAGGCAGGCTCCCTTCCTCCACCAGGAGGAACGCACGGCTTGGGGGAAAGGGTAGAAGCTGGCTGGAGGGGGGCGGGGGAGTGGACAGTTAGTCCTGGAGGCTGAGTTCAAGTCCGGAGACCCTCAGACGCCCTTACCTGGGCAGGATGCCTCCACCCTGCCCTTATGATAACCTTTGTGTCAGTACTGGCTCAAGCTCAGGGCCCGGCCACCGTCACTTGGCTTTGTGCTCAAGGCTGGCGCTCTCCCTCCTGAGCCACACATCCACTTCTATCTTTTTGCTAGTTAATAGGAAATAAGTGTCTGATAGACTTTTTTCTGCCCAGGATGGCTAGGATTATAGGTATGTGCCAGTAGCGAGTGCCCAGCTTAAAATAATGTTTAAATAGATCAAAGATTTATTAGTACCAGGTGAGCCAGGTATGGTCATGCATACCTGTAATCCCGGTTCTCAGGATGGTGAAGCAAGGAGGATCAGGAGTCCCAGGCCAGCCTGGACTACAGAGCAAGTGTCCAGGAAGGGGTGACCTGGCCTGTGACCCGTGGGCAGTGGAGAGCTGGGGGGAGGGTGGGCTGCACTCCCTGGACTTCGACGCCAGGCCTCGCCCAGCCCTGGCGAGTGCCTGCATCTTCCAGTTTTTCTGCCTGTCCTCTCCTCGCTGTGCTGTGTGCTCTCCCCAGTCAGGAAGTTCTCAGGCCCCAGCTTTGAAGCGTGTCATAGGCAGTGTCAACAGGGCTGGCCAGCCGTGGCCGCCATCTCCTGCGACCGATTGTGGCCCATGGCAGTGTGGTGACCACCGCTGGGCTCGAGTCTGTTTGCTGATCGCATGGCCTGTCCCCTCCCCTGCAGACCGAGAAGGACATCCTGCTGCGGCCGGAGCTGGAGGAACTGAGGAATGAGCACTCAGCTCGCTTCAAGCTCTGGTACACGGTTGACAAAGCCCCCGAAGGTGAGTGGGGGAAGCAGCAGGCTGGTGGGCATGGGGGGATCCCAGAGGGCGGCAGGGCCGGCCTGGGGCTTTCCGCTGGGCCCCGCCCCTCGGAGGTGTGCTGTGCACAGGCGGCTGCTTTGGCTTTCTGCCTTCCCTCTTCTCACCAGCCCTGAGATGGGGCTTGGCGGAAGCTCTGGTTCCCCTCGTCCTGCCAGCCCAGGTAGAGGTCAAGACTTACTACTGACCAAAGAAAAAGGGGGGATAGCCCCCAGGCCCGAGTCAAGCCCTAATATTGGCACAAAAAGGTGGGGCAGGGGCGGGGTGGAGTACCTTCATTCTTCTTTGCTGTAAGAAAAGCAGCAGTGCTGATGCCCTAGGGTGTGGCTCTCCGTGGGGAAATGGTGGGGATTGGGGTAAAAAGAGCTTGTTTTGGCGGTACTGGGATTTGAACTCAGGGTCTCGTTTGTTAGGCAGGTACTATACCACTTAAACCTTGCTTCCAACCCCTTTTTGCCTTAGTTATTTTTGGGATCAGGTGTCCTACCACTGCCGGGATGATGATCCTCTTGTTTACACCTCTTGTATAACTGGAACTCCAGGCATCACAGACACCACTGGGCTGTTTGACTGAGATAGGGATCTTGCAAACTTTCTCGGTCCCGCTGACCTTGAACTGTGGTCCCCCTGATCACTACCTCAGCAGTAGCTGAGTAGCATGAACCACCACACCCTGGTTTTGCCCGTAAGGCCTCCTCTCAGCCCTGGCCTGGGGTAGGAGCTGGTCCCCCCCAGGCTGAGCTGAGCTCAGGTCACGCAGAGGCTTCTGTGTCCCAAGGCCTCAGGCTGAGCTGGCCATCGGGCACTGGACCTGGTAGCAAAGAAAGGAACATTTGCCTTGCACTGTGGCTGGAAAGTGGGGAACAGAAGACAAGGCACCCCAGCCCTGCTCTTTTTTTTGGGGGGGTCCGGTCATGAGGCCTGAACTCTGGGCCTGGGCACTGTCCCTCAGCTTTTCAGCTCAAGGCTAGAGCTCTACCACTTGAACCACAGTGCCACTTCCGGCTTTTCTTCTTCTGTGGTGCTGAGGAATCAAACCCAGGGCCTCAGGCATGTAAGGCAAGCGCTCTACCACTGAGCCACTTTCCCAGCCCCTAGCCCTGCTCCTCTGATGGGGCTTCCTAGCTCAGGCTTAGCCTGAGGGCCCAGCGGGGGAGGCTGGTGCTGCCCCTGGTGGCCGTCTGTGGAAGCGCAGTCGTGGGCGGGATTTCCCCACACTGGTGGGCACCCAGGACGGGCACAGCCTCTCTGCACTTCCCACCTGGGTGTGTCCCGCTCTCTCCCAGCACTCAGACTGACTGACAGGTCCCCAGAGCCACATCCAGTTCACGCAGGAAGAAAAATGCACTGTCCAGAACACAGGCGTGAACAGCCCCGCGTCCCACCTGTGCACAACAGACAGGGCACGTGCCGCTCACTCCCACCCAGTCTTTCCACGTCTGTCCGGCAGCCCACATCATCCTAGCTACTCAGGAGGCTGAGATCTGAGGATCGCAGTTCAAAGCCAGCCCTGGCAGAAAAGCCCCTGTGAGATCTTATCTCCACTTGAACATCAAAAAAGCTGAAAGTGGCGCTGTGGCTCACGTGGTAGAGACTGGCCTTGAGCACAAAAGCTCAGGGACAGAGCCCAGGCCCTGAGTTCAAGCCCCACAACCAGCAAAAAAAAAAAAAAAATTCTTGGCTGTCTGTGCCTTGTTCTAGAAGGATTTAAGGTAGCTCAGAGACTCACATGGTGAGTTTGAGGAGGAAGGAAACTGGGAGTGGAGTTAAAACAAGGACAGGCCTTGGAGTGGAGCGGGCAATGGCAGATACACAGACATGGACAGGCGGCGATGTGCGCGAGCCTTCCGCAGGCCGGGCGTCTTGTTCAGAGGTTCCCAGCGGCCAAGGTGAAAAGGAACTCTGGACAGTCCTCCGCTCATGGTATTTATGACAAAAAGAGGGCCTTATTGTTCAGCACAGATGACTCTAGTCCCAAGGCCAGCTGGCCCCTGGTGCCCCCAGGACCTCGCAGATGTGGGGTGTGGTGCAGTGAGAGTCGTCCATCTAGACAGGCGGCTGTGTTAGCCTTTGTGATCCGCACCCTTGCTGGGCCCGCCGTGAGGACTTGGAAACATTCTCAAGACAGGGACAAGCCAGAGCTGCTCCTGGGTGTCCAGACTGGGGGAGTCGGGGCAGGAAGCTCCACCAGCCGTAGCCCATCCTAGGGGGGGGCGCCCCGAGGCTGTTGGGCCCTACAAGCCTATCCCAGGCCTCCCTGAACCCTCTGAAGCCACGCCTGAGCACGTACCTGGGCGGCCGCGAGCCCACCAGGCAGAGCCCAGGGTCAGGTGCCCACCGCAGGACCAGGAGTTGGGTGCCCCTCTGAGCAGCCCCCGTTGGCAGGTCTGCTTCTGGAGGGTCGATGTTAGAGCAAAACCATTCCTAGCCCACTTGGGCATCATGAGAGGGTGCCCCCTCCCCCACGCCCTCTAGTCTTTATTGACTGAGCCGACTACTTTGTGGCAGGCGCTCGCTTGGTTCCAGAACACACTGGATAAGCCCACCCCTGGTGGGCCAACTTCCTGGTGCGGAGGCGTCTGACGATGAGTCTCTGCCCTGGGCTGGGGCTTAGCATGCTTGAGGCCCCAGCGCCATCCTAGCACTGAAAAGACAGACATCCTGCCAGGAGGCCTGAAGGACCTGTGCTCAGTGCGTGACTAGCGACCGCAGGGCAGAGCCTGAGGCACGCGCAGGGGCGGTCCTCCTCCTAGGAGGGACAGCACTGGAGTCACCATGGGGGGCGGGGAGAGGCGGCCTAAGCGTCTGGGGTGTTGGGGGGTCTGTGCTACTGTGGCCCCATCTCTGCGCCTGGTCTGCCCACAGCCTGGGACTACAGCCAGGGCTTCGTGAACGAGGAGATGATCCGGAACCACCTCCCGCCCCCTGGCGACGAGCCTCTGATTCTGCTGTGCGGCCCCCCGCCCATGATCCAGCTGGCCTGCCTGCCCAACCTGGAGCGCGCCGGCCACGCCAAGGAGCGCTGCTTTGCCTTCTGATGGCCCCGCCCCACGCCACCCTGCGCTTGCCCACCCCACGCCAGGCCGCGAGGGGCACCCCGGGAGCAGGGCTGTGTCAGCTCCTCTGCCACCAGCCGTCTGCGGGGTAGTTCCTGCCTGTTCCCACCCATCCTGTGACCCCCCCCCCCCCCGCCGTCCACCTGTGTACCCCCTCCCGCCACGGCAGTGATAGAAGGGAATGGGGAGGGGGGCCCCTTCCCACCTGCCCCAGGCCAGGCCGGCCTCCCCTGATCCCTGCCCCACACAACACTACCGGTCCCCTCGGAGGGGTGGCTGCAGGGGAAGAGGCCCGGACCAAAGGCCTGAGGCCCTGTGGACCCCAGCACCCCAAGACTCTTAGGCTGCTTGAGAGTCGCAAGCTGGAGACCCAGCACAGGGTGGTGGACTTGAGGGTCCTGGCTCAGCCCAGGGCCAGCTGCCCTGGTGGCAGAAGCAGAGCCTCGGTTCGGTCCCGGCCCGGGAAGGGGTGTGAGCAGACACCCCACGTTGCCTTAGCTGACACTGGCCAGCCTCCCGCCCGCCCAGCGCTCTCCTCTCATGATGAGCAGGAGTTGAAGTAAAACGTTGCCAACAGTCACCCACTGTGCCTTTGTGTGTGCACCGGCTGGGGCAGAGTCATCAAGATGTGTCCTCAGGCCTGTCAGGCCCCCTGCGACCCTGGGGTGACAGCCTGGAGCCGAGGGGTCCTCTCCCACCTCCTGCTGGCAGACCGAGGCCAGGAGGCCTCCTGGTTGGAGACAGGCCTGTGGCTCCCTTTCTCGTTAGTGTCCAGGTGCTGGGGACCGGCCACGGGGCCCTGCCCGCCCTGCTCCCTGGCGCTCAGCTTCTACTGGGAAAGAGTCAACATTGACATCTTTTTTTCTTTTTGTCCATTGTGGGGGCTTGGACTCAGGGCCCGGGCGCTGTCCCTCAGTTCTTTTGCTCAAGACTAGTGTTCTACCACTTTGAACCACAGTGCCACTTCTAATTTTCTGGGGTTAACTGAAGGTAAGAGTCTCACAGACTTTCCTGCCTGGGCTGGCTTCAAGCCAGGATCCTCAGTCCTCAGCCTCCTGAGTTGCTAGCATGACAGGCGTGAGCCACCACCACCCATCCGGCGACACAGGTCTTTTTTAAGATGGCCACTTAAGCTGGGCACTGGTGGCTCATGCCTGTAATCCTAGCTACTCAGGAAGCTGAGATCTAAGGATCAAAGTTCAAAGCCAGCTTGGGCAGCAAAGTCTGTGAAACTCATCTCCAATAAACCACCAGAAAACCGGAAGTGGCTTTGTGGCTCAAGTGGTAGAGCACTCACCTTGAGCTGAAGAGCTGAGGGACCACGCCCAGGCCCAGAGTTCAAGCCCCACAAATGACAAAAAAAAAAAAAGAGAGACAGAGCCCCCTAGATCAAGCTGGGAAGGGGAAGAGGCCCTGGCCCTCTCCTCTAGTCTGTTTGCTGCGTGTGAAGCGGGCAGGTGAACTCGTGTATACCGCCCCACCCTCCCACCAGGGGGCGCTCACCTGGAGCGCTGTCTGCAGCCGCCCTTCACGGCAAGGGAGGAAGCAGGTGCGCACGTCCTCACCACCCGCCAACACCAGTGCTTCATGCCTGTAATCCGAGCGGTAACCCCATGGATCAAGGTTTAAGACCAGCCTGGGCCTTGGAGTCCCTGCGGGATTCTTCAGTTATCCAGCAGAAAGTTGAGTTAGAACTGGCTCAAATGGAGAGCACCATTGAGCCACTGAAGCGGGACAGGATGGGAGGGGGGGAGTCCTACCTACATTAGGATGGCAAGAAGAGAAAGAATTCATGTCAGGCGCTGGTGGCTCACACCTGTAATCCTAGTTACTGAGGAGGCTGAGATCTGAAGATTGAGGTTCAAAGTCAGCTAGGACAGGAAAGTCCATGATAGTCTTACCTCCACCAAATTACCAAAAAAGCTGGAGGTGGAGCTGTGGCTCAAGTGGTAGAGTGCTAGCTAGCTTTTTGTTTTGTCGGTCATGGGGCTTGAACTCGGCCTGGGCGCTGTCCCTCAGCTCTTCAGCTCAAGGCTAGCGTTCTAGGCTAGCGTTCTACCACTTGAGCCACAGCGCCATTTCTGGTTTTCTGGTGGTTCATTGGAGATAAGAGTCTCACAAACTTTCCTGCCCAGACTGGCTTTGAACCATGGTCCTCAGCACTCAGCCTCCTGAGTAGCTAGGATTACAGGTATGAGCCACTGGCACCTGGCAGAGAGCCTAGGCCCCAAGTTCAAGCCCCATGATGGCCCCCCCATCAAAATAAAAACATGCATGCCTCCCTTGAGCCTATGTCCCCAGAAGATGACCAGTGGGAGGAGTGGGGACATGCATTTGTCCAGATGCCCAAACACAGCTGGGCTCCTGGGCTCTGCCATCGGGTGCCATTATCTGAGACTGCCACAACTCTTGGGCAATTTTTTTTTGCCAGTCCTGGGACTTGAACTCAGGGCCTGGGCACTGTCCACTGACAGGCTGCTTTTGCTCAAGGCTAATACTCATCACTAGAGCCACAGCGCCACTTCCTGCTTTTTTTTTTTTTTTTTTTTGTCGGTCGTGGGGCTTGAACTCGGCCTGGGCGCTGTCCCTCAGCTCTTCAGCTCAAGGCGAGCGCTCTACCACTTGAGCTACAGTGCCACTTCCGGTTTTTTTTCTGGTGGTTTATTGGAGATAGGAGTCTCACGGTCTCTCCTGCCCGGGCTGGCTTTGAACCGCGATCCTCAGATCTCAGCCTCCTGAGTAGCTAGGATTACAGGCGTGAGCCACCAGCGCCCGGCTTCCTGCTTTCTTTGTGTGGTACTGATGAGGGAGGCGGGCTGGGGCTGAACGTTCCACCCAGCCCCCACCCTACAGCCAAATGCCCAATGAGTTCACAAAGGCCCTGGAACAGGGGTCATTCCAGGCATTCTGGACAGATGGACCTCCTTCCAAGTTCCTCCCAACTGTACACAACAGCAGCTTTCAGACTAGGCCCCCCACCTCAGGTCCCTAGCCACTCCCGCTACATTTCTGGGGCGGCTTGTAGCCCCCAACCCACCCAGACCTGAGCTCCTGCCAGGATAGCTGGCCACTACCGCTCTCCGCCCAGACCTGCCTGTGCATGCAGAGAACTCCCCCCTCTAGCCCCACTAATAAACATTCTTATAAATCTTCTCCTGTGCTATCTCCACTGGGACAGATTCGCTCACAAACCACCTTAAACGAGGCCATGGCCATGGCCAGGCACCGGTGGCTCACACCTGTAATCCTTCTTGCTCAGTGTAAGGCATATGAAATAGGTTTCATTAGTTAGCTGATGAGAACACCACACGCTATTCAGGCAGGAAAAGTTTACCTAACTGCTGCTCCCAGCAGGTATGGGGGAGAGGGATGGCTGAAGAGGAAAAGGGGAGACCCACCCCTGGGCTAGGACTTATCTAGGCCGAGGACAGGAAGAGGTGTGGCCACACTGGATCGTGTGACCTCAGGGTCTGGGACCCTCATGATTTCAGATGGAAGGCATGTGACCAGAGGTGGCCCATGATGTGACCTAGAAGAAGGGGGAAGGTGACTGCTTGCAGGTCTGCCAGTTACCTAGGTAACAGATGTTGGGTGGAAACGTAGCCAAGAGGGAGGGAGGTGTCCCTGTGCAGACCTTGCATTCCAGCCTTTTGATAATTATGAAAAAGAGTGAAGATTCTTTCTGGCTACTTCATGCTGGCAAGGAGGGGGCGACAGCAGGGGGAAAAGGCTGAGATGTGGTCCCCTCTGGGGGAAGGCAGCAGGCAGCAGCTGTCACTTGGTGGGCATGAGTCCGTAGATGAAGTCTGGAGGAGGCAGGTCTCTTGGATGAAGTCTGGAGGATCACATGAGGCAGAGAGGGGCTGAGCAAAAAAAAAAAAAATACTGGAGAGCAAACAAATAGCCAGAGGAAGGGTGTGGGGCAGAAAATTATCTCCTGCCTTCCAGACTGTCCAGGAGTTGGTGGAAATGTCCCATCTGGTGACTAGGTAGAGAATGTCAGGTAACAAAGGCAAGAATGCTGTCCTGTTAAAGGTAGACAGGTTGGACATTAGAGGGCAAGGCTTCTCACGTCTATTGACCTGGCCCTGGCTAGTTTTGAAAGGGCAGCCACAAAGTGGCTGATGTGACATCATCTCCTCTTACTCCTCTCCATGGTCCCTTGTTCTCCAGATTGGCTGAGTCTAGGTGCTCATTGCTGGGATGGCTTGTCCCAGTTGGTATTCATGGAGGTTTGAACTCAAGGCCTGGGCACTGTCCCTGAATAATTCTGCTCAAGGCTAGTGCTCTACCAGTTTGAGTTACAGTACCACTTCCAGTGTTTGGCTGGTTAGAGATAAGAGTCCTGAGCCATGCTTCCAGCCTGGCTCTTTGCCAGGTTAGTTGGGAGATGGAGTCTTAGGGATTTTTCAGCCCAGGCTGGCTTTGAACTGAAATCTTTGCCACAAAAACCCTTTGTTATTTCCAATTAAAGCAACAAGGAGATCAAATAGAATAAGTAGGGTTTACCTGGTTCTTATTAAGAATTGATCAACAAATATTCTGCAATGACAAAATTCGTTAGATGTGATGAGAATTTTAGCACTAATCCTAACACTCAGGAGGCTGAGAGCTGAGGATTGTGGTTGTTCAAAGCCAGCCCAGGCAGGGGCAGGAAAGTCTGTGTGAGACTCATCTCCAATAAACCACTCAGAAAACCGGAAGTCGTGCCATGGCTCAAGTGGTAGAGTGCTAGCTTTGAGCTGAAGAGCTGAGGGACAGCGCCCAGGCCCAGAGTTCAAGCCCCAGGACTGACAAATAAAAAGAGTCCATGTTTGCACCGTTTTCTGTGCAGATGCCAAAGCAGAATACCTACACCTTTGTGAAAATCGGCATGAGACCGGCCGATAAAAGTAATATATAAGGCAATAAAATCTTGCCACCTAAGTTCAAACCCCAGCACCACCAGAAAAACAAAGTGACAACCTCCATGCAGGTATAAAAAGTAAATCAGGAGCATGGGGCAGTGCTGTACTGCTGAAGGTGAGAAAACAGAAGCCACATTTTGTTTTGGGCAGTCGTGGGGCCTGAACTCTGGGCCTGGGCGCTGTCCCTCAGCTCTTCAGCTCAAGGCGAGCACTCTGCCACTTGAGCCACAGCGACACTTCTGGCTTTTTTCTTATGTGGTGCTGAGGATTCGAACCCAGGGCCTCATGCATGCGAGGCCAGGGCTCTACCACTGAGCCACCACGCGGTGGCCTCGCCTCGAAGGCCAGCCGCAGCAAACACACTATTAGCAAACAGCCATGAAGGCCGGAGGAAAGCACAAAACCAAGACCAACAAACCAGTTCAGCTCCAGTGGAGAGCGGACCCGGGACGCCACTGCGATGGAGGAGCCGGGGACGGGACCCGAACACGGAGACACGGGACGGCACGGGGTACCGCGGCAGGGCTGGTCAGGGCCTGGCCAGGGCCCCAGGAAGCGCCCGGACTGGCAGGTCCAGTAGCCTATCAGCTGTGAGGACGGGATGGCGCTGGCCAGAGGCGATCGCCCTGTTGGAGAACCCCTTACCCGGGGAGCCAGGCCCGCACACCGCGGGACGGCGCAGCTGGAGGAAGTCATGCACCCCCACCCCATCGTGTTAAGGGAGGGACCCTCACACGGGTCCTCCCTGACGCCATCCCGCACCTGCGTCGGGGATGGGGACACGCGGCCAGTCCAGGCCCAGCACCCTTGGAGCCAAGATTCCCAAGCTTTGACTCCAGCAGGGCGCCCGGGTTTCCTAAGGTGTTCATGTCCTACCAGACACACGGAGATTGTATCGCCGATCTGAGAGCCGGGGCTCAGGGTGGAGAAACAGAGAGACCAAGCCGAGGGCCGGAGGTCCCGGCTAGGCCCGCGCGCTTCCTGCGGCCCCCGGATCTGAGAGCCGGGGCTCAGGGTGGAGAAACAGAGAGACCACGCCGAGGGCCGAAGGCCCCGGCTAGGCCCGCGCACTTCCCGCGGCCCCCGGACTTCCCCCAGGGCCTCAGCCACCGTCGTGACTACAGCTCCCTCCAGGTGCCTCCGCAAACCCTTAACGGCGTCACCTGTTGTACCGGACACTAGCGAGCCCCGCTAACGGGAAGAGGGATCCATACAGCCCCCCTCCAGCACCTACCAAGCCAGCTTTTCTTGTTTTTAGGAATAAGGGGGTACGGGCAGATCGCAGCACCCAGGCATCCCGCAAAGTAGGCGGGTCACCTTAGGGGCAACCTTTACCCGCTCAAAAATTCGTCTCACATTAGCAGTGAGGATCCGGGCGTCACCCCGAATCGTTATTTTCCTTACTCATAAGTTTAAGGCATAAAGCGGCGTGGCGCTTTCCTTGCGGGTGATGAGTGTCATTTTCATTTTAGTTATGGTGAGTGTCACGTTGCTCACGGAACAAACACGTTCATCCCGTTTCGTTTGTTTCATTGGCTGTTAACTTTTTCGTTCGCTTTTCATTTTATTTGTTCGGGAACAAGAGGCCCTGTAGTACCCCCGACCCTCCCTGTATGCAAATAAGCTGGCATCGCGAAGGCTCATGGGGAGTGCCCCACCCTTTCCGGTTCTTGTCGCTTTATAAACTATCGCGAGAGTCGGTTGGCCGGACGCCGGAAGCTGCTCTTCGCTGGGTAGCGGCCGGAGGGGCGGGCTGGAGGGCTGAGGGCGTCGGAGCTGCTCTCGACTCGCTCGGCGGCGCAAGATGGCGGACATCTCCCTGGACGAGCTCATCCGGAAGCGCGGAGCGGCGACGAAGGGCCGGTGAGGGACCTTCTCACCCCCCAGGACGGGGGTCCGGGACCCACTGGGGCTCGGGGGGAGGAGGGCGCCCCGCCGCCGCGCCGCGCGCGGGCCGTTTGCGCCGCCCCCTGCCCAGCCTCGTTCCTCATTGGCCGCCGCGGCGGGGCCCGCCGTCCGTCGGTCCGTCCGTTCCTCCGCCAGCGTCTGCGGGCGCAGCGGCGGGACCGCGTCGGAGTTCGGGCCGCTGACCGGCTCCTGCCTCAGCCCCCCAGCCCCAGTGCCCGCGCCCGCGCCGCGCTGAGGCCGCTCGCGCTCCTGGCGGCCCCGGGGCTCGAGCGCGGGGCCTGGGAGCCGCCCCCGAGCGTCCGTGCTCACGGCTGGCGCTCTCCCGCTTGAGCCGCAGCGCCACTTCTGGTTTTCTGGTGGTTCCTCGGAGATCAGAGTCTCACGGACTTTCCCGCCCGGGCTGGCTTTGAACCGCGATCCTCAGATCTCGGCCCCCCGCCGGATGACAGGCGTGAGCCGCCGGCGCCCGGCCGCGGTCTCCGGTTCGGAGTGTCTGGGCCCTGGGCCGCCGCCGCGAGCCTCGCAGCTCCCTGCGCGCTGAGGCGCAGCCTGAGCCCCTGGTCGAGGCCAGGCAGGCCGCACAGCCCCTTCCAGCTGAGCCCTTCCGGTCCTGGGCTGGGCAGTGGGCGGGGCTGCAGGGAGTCGGGGTGTCCAGGACCCTCAGGAAGAGCAGGGCCGAGGGGCAGCCCCTCAGGCTTGGCCACTTTTCAGCCGGGCAGTGCTGCTCCGACAGGTCATGGAGAGGCGTCCATGTGAGAACGGAGGGGTGCCGCTCGCCTTCCCATGGCTGTGACAAGTTGCCTGAGAAAAGCAAACTGAGAGGGGCACCTTTTGCCTCCGCTTTCAGTCCGTGGTTGGCTGGCTCTGTTGCCTTGGGCCGAGGGCAGAATGTCATGGCAGTAAGAAGGGCCAGTGGTCAGGGATGCCCCAGTGACCTGCTTCCTCCAGCCTCGTCTCCCAAGTGAGCCCTGTGGATCCCTGCCCAGTGGGGCTCTCTGGACACCACACAGCCACACCATAACATGTTTTAAAGATTGTGCCATGTTTGAGCCTGTAATCCCAACATCTGGCAGGAGAATGACAAGATCAAGACTGCATGGCTAGACCCTGCCCCCCAAAAAGACAAAGTTTATTTGTGCCAAATGGTGGGCGTTATGGGACCTTTTCCTAAAGGAGTAGACGCAGGAGCCCCTTGGGGACTGGCTAGGTGAGACCGTGGGTTCTGCAGCACTTGGCCAAGGTAGGGTTCCACACTGCATTTCCAAATCGTCCTGTGTGGGTTGCCAGACTGCCCCCTTGCCTTCCTTATGTGAAGGTGATATCTGATGAGTGTTGTCAGTTAAAGGTCTCTCTACCTCCCTCCCTCCTCCCCCTCTTTTCCTCTCTCCTCCCGGTTCCCTCCCTCCTCCCTCTTTTCTTTTTGCCAGTCCTGGGGCTTAGAACTCAGGGCCTGGGCACTGTCTCTGAGCTTTTGCTCAAATCTAGCACTCTACAACTTAAGCCACAGCACTACTTCTGGCTTTGTGTTTCTGTGGTGTTGAGGAATGGAATCCAGGGCTTCATACATACTAGGCAAGCACTCTACTGCTAAGTCACATTCCCAGGCGCCTCCCTCCCCCCCCCCCCTTTTTTTTATGCCAATCCTAGAACTTGACCTCAGTGCCTAGGCACTGTCCGTGAGCTTTCTTTTTTGTTCAAGGCTAGAGTTCTACCACTTGACCCACAACTCCCATTTCCAGCTTTTTGATAGTTTATTCGAGATAAAAGTCTTAAGGAGTTTCCCAAGTTAGCTTCAAGGCATGATCCTCAGATCTCAGCCTCCTGAGTTGCTAGGGTTATAGGCAGGAGCCCACTGGTGCCCAGCCTTTGCTCTTTTTCTGGTGCCCAGCCTTTGCTCTTTTTACGATCAGTTGTAAGGGGGTTCGTGTTAACATGCTCTCTTATATATGCCCCTCGATTGTAATCAACTGTTCCTCCGCTGTGACTTTTAAGTAGCGAAGTATCATGATCTCCAGTTTTTAGTGTGAGAATTTGCTGTGATGTGATTATTGGATTGGAACCAAAGTACTGGCTGGAAGAAACTGTAGAACATCCTGTGTTTGAGTTAAATTTTCTGGAAACTCAGGCTGGGGCATGGTAGCTCATGCCTGTAATCCCAGCTGCTCAAGAGCAGATATGTTTAGTGTCAAAGTTTTTTCTTGTTGTTTTTGTTTTTGCCAGTCCTGGGGCTTGAACTTGGCCTGGGCACTGCCCCTGAGCTGCTTTTGCTCAAGGCACTGTACAACTTGAGCCACAGTGCTGGCTTTTTGTATGTGGGACTGAGGAATCAAACCCAGGGCTTCAGGCATGCTAGGCAAGCACTCTCCCACTAAGCCACATTCCCAGCCCCAGTGTCTAAGTTTTAAGGCCAGACTGACAAAAAGTTAGACCACCTCTGCCAATAAGCCTGTTATGGTGGTTCATACCTATAATCCTGTTATGCAGAAGGTGTAGGCAGGAGATCCTATCCAAAAATAACTAGAGCAGAAGGCTTTGAGGGCTTGGCTTCAAATGTAGAGTACCTGCCTACCAAGCATGAGGCCTTGAGTTCAAACCGCAGTACACAAATGAGCCTGTCTTCTGGAAATTCTTTTTCACTTGCACAGCTGTAAAAGAAAGATTAGATCTGGGGCTCCTTGACAAATTTACATGAACAAATGTCACTTTCCTATTTTACATGCTTTCTAGAAGAAGTCACCATTCTGGGAAGTTTGGTGTTAATGTTGCATGGATATCCCAGGAAGAACTTGGTGCTCAGTAATTTAGGAATGTTGCTTTGCCTCTTCCTGAGCAGATAGCAAAAAGAGGGAGCGTGTGACACTGTGAAGCCTCTTTGCTGTCCATCTGGTCCCTTGTTCTACCCTCCTAGGGATCAGCATTTGTGGAATGCTGCTGCTTCAGAGCAGCTCTTCGTTGTGTTCCTTATGCCTGGGCCTCCAAGTAATCGTCAAGGGTCCTTGACCAATTCCAGAGCCAGTTGCAGGTGGTTTGAGTGACCGTTGTCTGGCTTTGGGGAGAAATAGCCTCCGGCACTTCTCTAGTGACTCCATCTCCACAAAGGGAGCTGAGCATGCTTGTGCACGCCTGTCATCCCAGCAACTGTAAGAAACCTAAAATAAGCATATTATAGTCCAGGTGTGCCCAACCTGCACAGGCCCTTGAGTTCCAAACCCAAGAACTGTTTAGGGCTGGTGACTCTCACCTGTAGTCCTAGCTACACCTGAGCCTGAGATCTAAGAATCGTGGTTTGGAGCTAGCCCAGGCAGACAAATCCTCCTTGAAACTGTTTTATCTCCAGTTAATCAGCACAAAGCCGTAGCGGAGAGGTGTGATTCAGGCAGTAGAGCACTAGCAGTGAGCTGAGCAAGAGAGGGAGAGCCTGAGTTCAGGCTCTAGTACTGGCATGGGAAAACAAAAAGGGATAGGGCCTTGGCTAAAGTGGTAGAGTGCCTCCCTAGAAACTAGTAAATACAGGAACACAGTTCAGTCCCTAGCACTACACAAAATGAAGAGTATTGGCGGGTGTCTTCAGCAAAGGGACAGTGTCTTTAGTGTCTTTTTAGTGTCTTGTTTTGTTGGTGTCTCCAAAGCAGTGGTTTATAATTGACTCTTAGAAATAGTTTGAACTAAACTGTTTTTTTTTTCTTTTTCCCTCGTGGATGAAAATCCACTTTCTGTATTCCTGAGCACCCCCTCCCCTCCCCACCCCACCCCAGACATGAATCTTTGGACAAGGCACCTGTCGCGAGGCAGCTGTGGAAGCTGCCGGAGTCCGCACGGAACTGGAGGCGGCATTCTCATAGGTGCATCAGCTTCTGTCTGGAATGAGGGAGTGCGCTCCTCCCTCCCGTCCGGTGGAGGGGGGGGAATGTCCTCTCCCTGGCCGGCAGCACTTTTCCGTGGGCAGCTGCTGGGGAGGACTCGGGAGCCATTGACCTTGTTGGTTGAGGTGGTGCAGGAAGGGACTCGCTGAAAACCTCCCTCCCCCTTCCTAAACATTGGCTGGGGACAAGAGTGCAGAAATGTGCTTGGGAACATCAGTAGTCCCCACTGTGGGAGGTGAGGCTGCAGACAGAAGTTGGGGCAGGACTGGAGGCTCCCCAGAGGGGCCGGGCTTTGTGAGGGAGCCTCCGCAGTTCTGCAGGAGGCTCACATAATTGACTCTGTTTTAGAGACCTACCCCTAGCAGGAGTGTTTATTTGAAAAATTCCTGATGACTAATGCCTGCCTTCCAACCAGTACCGCTGCCTGCTGGGATGAATAGCTGTCTTTTCATGCAGGAAAAAGGAGCTATGGTTATAAAAAGCCCCAATACTAAAGCCCCTAAAGCTGATCATGAAAGGAATGGAAAGAACTGGTGTCACCTGGAGTGAATGCATCAAATTGAGAAGTAGCTCCTCACTCTCCCCAGGAGCAGCTCCGCCATCGAGAACTGCCAACAACCCGCCCCCTCCTGCAGCTGCCCCTCTGGTTGTGCTGGGAAAGGACTGACAGGTGGTGTACAGGAATTCAATCACGGAGGCTTAATCTCACTTCTGATGCTGAGCTGACTTCCACCTATTTCCCCGAATATACCTCTGTTGCTAAGCAGGCATGACTATAGATGAAAATGCCAGCCTCCATCTTGGTGGTCCTTCCTGCCAGACAGGAACGATGGCATGCCCCCAAGTGAGCACACTGCATCCGTGCTTGTCACTAGAGGACGGGCTCTTCCTAGGCACGGCTGTTGTCCCAGGATCCCTCCACTGAGGGACAGTACCCTCTTCCTTAGGCTTTTTGGGGGAAGGGATGACATCACAGTATATCAAAACTAAACTAGACATAATAGGATAATTTTGATTCTTCAAATTCTAATTTTTAGTTTTTGTGTGTGCCTGTGTACCTGTTTGTACCACGGCTTAAAACTCAGGGCCTTCCACTCACTTGGCTTCTTTACCCCTCCAGTCCTGTGTTTTGGTAGTTACTTGGAGATGAGGTGTCAAGAACTTTTCTGCCCTGGGTCTGGCTTTGAACTTCTATCCTCAAATTCAGCTTCCTGAGTAGCTAGAATTACAGAAGCAAGCTACCTGTCCTCTATCATCTCCTTCTCCTTCTCCTCCTCCTCTTCCTCCCCTCCCCCCCATCCTGGGGCTTGAACTCAAGGCTGGCAGACTACCGCTTGAACCACACCTCTACTTCTGACTTTTTGCTTGTTAATTGGAGATAAGAGTCACACAGACTTCCTGCCTCGGCTGGCTTTGAACTTCAATCCTCAGATCTCAGCCTCCTGAGTAGCTGGGATTACAGGCATGAGCCACTGACACCCGGCTTTACCTTTTTATTTATTTAAATAAATCCTGAGGGGCTGGGAAGGTGGCTTAGTGGTAGAGTGCTTGCCTTGCATGCATGAGGCCCTGGGTTCGATTCCTCAGCACCACATAAGCAGAAAAAGCCAGAAGTGGCGCGGTGGCTCAAGTGGTAGAGCGCTAGCCTTGAGCTGAAGAGCTGAGGAACAGCACCCAGACCCAGAGTTCAGGCCCCATGACTGGCCAAAAAAAAAAAAAAAATCCTGAGTAGCAAAGATTACAGGGGCTTTACCTTCTTTGTAAAGCTTTCCGTAGCTCTGCTTGCCTCTTACATAGCTGTAGCAGGCATTGTCTATCAACCATAGACTCCCACAGAGTCTGAAAATGACCGAATCCTCACACTTTGAACAGCCATTGCTAATGATCAGAGAAGAGAACTGTATATATATATATATATATATACATAAACACTATATAATATATATAATATATATAATAAACTACATAAATACTATTGTTAGATTATTTGGACTTTGTCAGAAAACCACGCAGACATCCGGGTACAGAGAACAAAGGAAGGTTTATTGCCGAGAAAGGGACTGGCCAGACCCCTTCTCACAAGGGAAAACTGAGAAGCAGCACCAGCTATTTTCTGAGGTGACCTATATAACCTAGGAAGTTGAGGAAGGGCTAGGAGGTGGGGACCCTGGTGTGGACGTGAGGGCTTCATGATGGCGGACTAGGATCTATGGCTGCTGCCCGAGTAGATAAGGAGCCCTGCAGCTGCCCAGACCTGAAGGTCACTTTAAGGGGCTCTTGCTGCCTTATATGGTAGTAGCTGCCCCGGAGAAGTGCCATCCCAAGGTAAAGGGTGGTAGAGGCTGATTATTTACTGTCTTTACTAAATGGGCCTAGTGTTGCCTAGGAAGGGAGCATGCCAAGCTGTGGAGAGGGGAAGGAGAGTACTAAGCTATGGGAAGGGAGCTCATTTCGCTAACAACTATAAAGGTGTAGAAGTTGTAACCAGCACCTCCACCCTCCTTCTAAAGGGTTTCTTCATACAAAGTTGAAGTGAGCCAGAAATTTTGAATCTGCCCCTTTCTCCGTTCTCTGTTCATGAATGTGAACTTTGTTTTAAGAAGTTCATTATTGCATCTAGGTGGTTAACTTCTTTTTCTTTTGCTGTGTTCGGGCTTGAGCCAGGGGCTACGCTTGCTGAGCCGATGTTCTGCCGTGCCCCAGGACTTCTCTCCTTTTTCCTTGACAGTTACTGTTGATTGCTTGAATGGTTGATGAAATTGGAAAACTAAACTTTTAAAAGCAAAATTGAGCCAGGCACCGGTGGCTCATGCCTATAATCCTAGCTACTCAGGAGGCTGAGAACTGAGGATCACAGTTCAAAACCAACCCAGGCAGGAAAGTCCATGAGACTCTTATCTCCAATTATCCACCTGGAAACTGGAAGTGGCAACTGTGGCTCAAGTGGTAGAATGCTGGCCTTGAGCTGAAGAGCTGAGGGACAGTGCCCAGGCCCAGATCTACCCAAGCTCCACCACCTACCAAAAACAAAAAAACCAAAGTCAATGGGCTGGGAATGTGTCTTAGTGGTAGAATGCTTGCCTAGCATGCATGAAGCCTGAGTTTGATTCCTCAGTACCAAGTGGTAGTGTGGCTCAAGTGGCAGAGTGCTAGCCTTGAGCAAAAGAAGCTCAGAGACAGTGCCCAGGCCCTGAGTTCAAGCCCCAGGACTGGCCAAAAAAAAAGGAAATGGTGGCAACTAACTTCAGAGTATGACCCTAAAAGGAAAGTCTATGCTAGAGCCTTACAAGGTCCCTGACACTCAGCAAGCATTTAACTCCAAATAGCACTTTGAGCCCTGACTCCTTGATGCAGGGTTGAAATAGTTGAGGAGGTGCAGGGTAGGCCGGGGTAGCTCAAGGTTCTGTGAGAGCTACAGGCTGATAAACAGATCATTGTGATGCAGTATGACAGGTACCTTAGTGGAGGCTTTGTGTGGTGAGCTTTGAATCTCCCAGGAGAAAGCCAGTGTCTGGGGATCAGGGTAGCAGAGAGGTTTTGCTGGTGTGAGAGGGGAGGAATGAGTGCTTTTGATTTTGGGGAATGGAGAAGACTGGACACCTCAGCTCCCTACTTGAGTTGGACACACAAAGAAGTCACAAGGAATGGGCTAAGGTGGGCATTTCGACATTCTACCTTTCTCCAATGCCCTTGGATAAGCTGTTCTTTCCAGACACTGCAGGCCCTGGCAGCTTGTTCTATGCTCACAGATTGTGTACTTTCCTCTTCGAGTTTGAGTGTGGTAATTGCTTGGGAATCTATATGCAGCTCCTCAATTTGGAGCATCCAGAGGCCCATACCTCACCATGTTCCTTTTGGCAATTTGATTGCCTGGCCCCAAGCCAGTGGCTTTGGAGGGAACTCATTAGTGAGCATTTCTGTCTAGAGGATGCTTTTTCTCATTTTTGTGACCAAGACTTGAGTGACAGCCCTGTTCTGAACCTATAACCTGGTTGTCCTAGAGTTGGAACAGAGGGCCGTGCACTAGCTAGGCAGGCACCTCCAGTCCTTTTGCTCTTTTTTGTTTGTTTTGTCCGTCGTGGGGCTTGAACTCTGAGCCTGGACACTGTCCCTGAGCTCTTCAGCTCAGGATGAGCGCTCTGCCACTTGTGCCATAGGGCCACTTCCAGTTTTCAGGTGGTTCATTGAAGATAAGAGTTCCACAGACTTTCCTGCCCAGGCTGGCTTTGAACTGTGATCCTCAGATCTCAGCTTCCTGAGTAGCTAGGATTGTAGGTGTGAGCACCAGTGCCCGCAGTGGGAAGCTTTTTTAAAGCCAGTAGGAAGATAATGCATGAGGCTATGGCCTTCTTTCCTACCACAGGTCCCTTGTGGATTGACAGGTTTTGGGTAGGTCTGCTGTTGGCCATGCCTTTTTAGAGCAGCAAGCCTGGGGGGGTCCAGGTGAGTGAGTGTGAGGGAGTAGCTTTTTGGCTTCCAGAACCAGCTGTATTCCAGGTATTCCATAGTTCTCCTCCCTGGGCTGCTGTTGATATCCAGGCCCACTTACCATTGCAATGTGTGGTATTCACAGGCTCAGCACCAGACCAGGAGTTGGAGGCGTCCGATCCCGCATTGGGATCCAGCAGAGTAGTCTGCTTAGCCAGTCAGCACGCACAGCCACTTTCCAGCAGAGATTTGATGCCCGGCAGAAGATTGGCCTCTCAGATGCCCGCCTCAAGCTGGGAGTCAAAGATGCTCGGGAAAAGCTTTTGCAGAAAGATGCTCGGTTTCGGATCAAAGGGAAAGTGCAGGATGCCAGAGAGATGCTTAACTCTCGCAAGCAGCAGAGTACAGTGCCACAGAAGCCCCGCCAGGTGGCAGATGCCCGGGAGACTATCAGCTTGAAGAGAAGGTCCCCTGCTGCCTTCACAAGCCCTCCCATTGGGACAGTGACCCCTGCTCTGAAGCTCACCAAAACCATCCAGGTAGGCTGTGACCTCTGTTACGGTAGAGTTAGACAGGAGATCTGAGTGGACACAGGGTGGGGTAAAACGCACTTCTCCCAGGCTCTGTTCAGCAGCTTGCTGCTTCTGAAGGCTTTTCACGTACGTTATACTAAGTAAACCATAGGAGAAAGGAAAGGTAGTACCTCTTTTATGTAAAAGGGGGACATCCACAAAACTGAAATGACTTTCCAGAGTGAAATAGTGAGGGAAGAGAAAGAAAAGGATGCAGCCTGTTCAGCATGGGCTGCCTCCACTCCAGCCTCAGGGTTATTACACCAGTTTTGTTTAAAAAAAAAAAAAAGTTTCAGAGAGAGATATAAAATACATAGCCATGGGGCTGGGAAGGTGGCTCAGTGGTAGAGCGCTTGCCTTGCACGCCTGAGGCCCTGGGTTCGATTCCTCAGCACCACATAAGCAAAAAGAAAAAAGCCGGAAGTGGCGCTGTGGCTCAAGTGGTAGAGCGCTAGCCTTGAGCTGAAGAGCTGAGGGACAGCGCCCAGGCCCAGAGTTCAGGCCCCACAACCAGACCCAAAAATAATAAAATACATGAGTATGAGGACTAGGCTAGAAGCCTAGACACACTTAATAGTCCAATGCCCCATCTGCTCTCCACAGCTGCTACCCAGTGGGAAAGGAAACCATATCTCTGCAGTAGCATTGGTAGTAGGGACAGAGTAGCAGCAAACTTTAGCCAAGCTCAGGCTTTACGTGTTCATACCACATGGTTTTGGCAGTGATGTTGCTTTGGTGCTTGGAGCCAAGGCACTATAGCTCCTTTTACCAAAAACTCAAACTGCATGCCCACTATTTCAAGTGCAGTGAACCCCAGCTTGTAGAGTGCATGCATTGTGACCACTGAGTATTTCTAGGTTCCACAGCAGAAGCCCATGGTACCACTTCATACCCATCCTGCTGGAATGAGGATCAACGTTGTCAATAACCACCAGGCCAAACAGGTAGAATTAATGAGCACACATGTATGCATGCATGTGGGTGTTTTGTGGGTTTTATTTTTGTTTTTTTGCTGAGAGGAATGTTAAGACAAGGTGTCTCACTTGCTGCTGATTTACTAGGACTTAGCCAAGCCCTCTACCATTTAGCTGCACACCCCTAGCCGGCCTTCAGGGGTGTGTGCGTGTGTGTGTCAGGGATGTGGTGTGTGTGTGTTTTTTCCTGGGGCTTGAACTCTGGGTCTGGGCACTGTCCCTCAGCTCTTCAGCTCAAGGTGAATGCTCTACCACTTGAGCCACAGCGCCACTCCGGTTTTCTGGTGGTTGATTGGAGATAAGAGGCATGGACATTTCTGCCCAGGCTGGCTTTGAACCGTGGTCCTCAGATCTCAGCCTCCTGAGTAGCTAGGATTACAGGTGTGCGCACCAGTGCCCAGCTGTTGTTACTTTTTATTTGTGTGGAGTTGCAGTTGTGGATTATAAGGTTATGTTACCTGGTTTTGTCCCATTCTTTTTTTTTCTTGTAAGTCAAGTATTTTTCTGATATTCCACATTTACTATAAAATTTTTTTTTTTATTAAGCAGTTATACAAAGGGGTTAGAATTTCATAAGTCAGGTAATGAGTACAATATTTCTTGGACAATGTCATCTCTTCCTTCGTTTTCCCAGTTTTCTCTCTTCAGTCCTGCCCACAAATTGCATAGGTTATTTTTTAGATAGTGTATATTGAATACAATAACTGCATTATTAGTTCACCCTTCCTCCATTCCTGTGGTCCCTTTTTGCTCCCCCCCCCCCAAAAAAAAAAAAAAAAACAACTAACAACGCACCACCACTGACAAAAACATATTTCCATTTTCTGAAGCTGGTTTTGATAATTAGTATTTTAGACATTCAGAGTGTCCTCCCCTAAGTGTATCCTCCTTTATAGTCAGTTTGTTTGTGTGTAAGTGCATAGAGCTTTATATAAGTAATCGTGTCCAGTTGTATTCTAATTTCCACCTATGAGAGAAAACATTCACTGTGTGTCTCTGAGCTTGGCTTACCTCACTTAACATGATTTGTTGTAGGTCCAATCTGTTTCCCTGCAAATGACATAATTTTTTTCCTAATGGATGAGTAAAATTCAATTGTGTATATGCCCCATTTTTTTAATCCACTCATCTATTGTAGGACACCTGGGCTCTTTACATAACTTAGCTGTTATTAATAGTGCAACAACGAACGTGGATGGGCAAGTCTTTTTTTTTTTGGTCAGTCCTGGGTCTTGAACTCTGGGATTGGGTGCTGTCCCTGAGCTCTTCAGCTCAAGGCTAGCACTCTACCTCTTAATCCACAGTGCCACTTCCAGGTTTTTCTGTTTATGTGGTGCTGAAGAATTGAACCCAGGTCCTCATAATGGGAGGCAAGCACTCTACCACTGAGCCACCTTCCCAGCCTCTGAGCTCCTGGTTTTTGTGGGTTGATTTTGTATTTTGCCAGTTATTGATCAGCTCTAGGAGCTTGAGGGTAAAGTCTCAAGAGTCCTTTTAGACACAGGATCATAACATCTGCAAATAGGGATAGATCGACTTCTTTCCCTATGTAAATCCCTTTTATATCTTTCTCTTACTTTATAGCTCTGGCTAGGAATTCCAGTATCATATTGAAAAGGAGTGAAGAAAGAGTGGACATCCTTTGCCTTGTTCCTGATTGTAGAGGAAATGGTTTTAGTTTTTCACCATCTAGTATGATGTTAGCTGTTGGTTTGTCATATATAGCCTTTAATATGTTGAGGTATGTTCTTTCTATTCCTAGCTTTTTCAGAGCTTTTAACATGTGCAAAAGTTAGATTTTGTCAAAGGCTTTTTCTGCATCTATTGAGATAATGTGATTTTTGTCTTTGGCTCTGTTAGTGTGGTCTGTTATGTTCATTGATTTATGTTTATAAAGCCCGCTTGATTATAGTGTATAATTTTATTTTTTCTTATATGTATGTATATTTTTGTTGTGATTATAAAGGTGATATACACAGGGCTTACTGCTTTACAAGCCAGGTAAAGAGTCCATTTCTTTTTGGACAAAGTTATCCTTTCCCTAGCCATCTCCTAGTTTTTCCCCCCATCCCTGCCCAAAAGTTTTGTAGTTCATTTTCAGCAGTGTCTACTAAGTACCACGGCTGCATTTGTCCACCATTTGCACTTCCATTTCTATGCCTCCACCCCCACCCCCAGACAAATAAATGGACAAGACAACACATAGCATATAATTTTTTTTTTTTTTTGGGTCCGGTCGTGGGGCCTGAACTCTGGGCTTGGACGCTGTCCCTCGCCTCTTTAGCTCAAGGCTAGCACTCTACCACTTGAGTCACAGCGCCACTTCCAGGTTTTTTCTTTTTTGCTTATGTGGGGCTGAGGAATTGAACCTAGGGCCTCAGGCATGCAAGGCAAGCGCTCTACCACTGAGCCAACTTCCCAGCCCTAGCATATAATTTTTTTTATTGTTGAATTTTTTTGGCAAGTATTTTATTAAGGAGTCTTGTATCTATGTTCATCAAAGAGACTAGTCTGTAGTTCTCTTTTTTTATTGGGTCCCTACCTAGTTCAGGATGTGTATAATGCTGGATTCACAGAATTATTGGTGTTAGTTTGCCTTTAAAGGGCTTATAGAATTCACCATGAATACATTAGGACCTGGACTTTTCCTCCTTGGAAGGGAAGATCTCTCTCTCTCTCTTTTTTTTTTTTTTGTCGGTCATGGGGCTTGAACTCTGGGCTTGAATGCTGTCCCTCAGCTCTTAAGGTCAAGACAAGCACTCTACCACTTGAGCTACAGCGCCACTTCCAGTTTTTCTGGTGATTTTTATTGGAGATAAGAGTTTCAGGGATTTTCCTGCCCAGGCTGGCTTTGAACCATGATCCTCAGATCTCAGCCTCCTGAGTAGCTAGGATTACAGGCATGAGCCACCGGTGCTCCGCTAGATCGTTACGATACTTTTTTTGGGGGGAAGGTGTCAGTTGAGGGGCTTGATTTCAGGGCTTGCGTGCTAGCCCTGATGTGTTTTGTTTTGTTTTGTTTTGTTTTGTTTTCGTACTCAAGGCTAGCACTCTACCACTTAGGGCCACAACTTCATTTCTGGCTTTTCGTCTCATCAACTTTCCTGCTTGGGTTGGTTTGGAACCACAGTTCTCAGATCGCAGCCTCCTGAGTAGCTAGGATTACAGGTGTGAGTCACCAGTGCCCAATTTTTCCTTTATTTCTAATTTTTTTGATTTGAGCTCCCCCTTTCCACCCCCCTTGCCAGTCCTGGGGCTTGAACTCAGAGCCTGGGCACTAGCTCAAGGCTAGCACTCTACCACTTGAGCCACAGTGCCATTTCTGGCTTTTTCTGTTTATTGTGTGGCACTTGAACTCGGGGCTTCATGCATGTTAGACAAGCGCTCTACCACTAAGCCACATTCCCAACCTAGTTGCATTATTTACTTGAGCAATTTGGTTTTTTTACTCTAGAGCTATGAACTTCCCTGAACTTTCCTCTCGGCACTGCTTTTGCTGTATCCCAGAGGTTCTGATATGACTTGTTTTCATTTTCATTTGATTATAGAAATTTCCTGGCTTCTTCCTTTATTTCTTCAGTGACCCACCTATTATTCAGTCTCCATGTGTTTTGAGTATTTTCTTTGCCATTGAGTTCTAGTTTAATTCCATTGTGATCAGATAGGATACAAGGTTATCTCAGTTCTTTTGTATTTGCTCTGTTGTGTGTCCTAGGATATGATCTGTTCTGCAGAATGTTCCTGGCCTGCTGAGAAGAATATGTATTGTGTGGTGTTGGGTGAAATACTCTGTAGATGTCTATTAAGTCCATTTGGGTTATCATGGCATTTAATTCAGAGGCTTGTGTGCTGACCTTTTGTTTGGGTGACCTGTCCTTTTGTGGGAGTGGGGTGTTAAAGTTTCCCACTATTGTGTTGGGGGGGAGTCTATCAGTTTTTGTTGTAAGTATAAGATAATTTACTTAATGTATTTAGTGCTTCATTATTTGGTGCTATTTGACCACTGTAATTTCTTTGACCATTGTAATTTCTTCTTTGTGGATCATTCTCTTTATTAATATGTAGTGATCTTCTTTGTCTCTTCTTACTGATTTTAATGTGAAGTCTATTTTATAAAAATATAGAATGCTGGCTAGGAAGGTGGCTGAGTGGTAGAGTGCTTGCCTTGCACGCATGAGGCCCTGGGTTCAATTCTTCAGCACCACATAAGCAGAAAAAGCCAGAAGTGGCCCTGTGGCTCAAGTGGTAGAGTGAGCCTTGAGCTGAAGAGCTGAGGGAGAGTGCCCAGGCCCAGGGTTCGGGCCCCACGACTGGCCAAAACAACAACAAAATATGTATACATATATATATATATATATATATATATATATATGTATGTATGTATGTATGTATACACACACACACACACACACATATATATGTACACATACACAAATTTGTAGGTCATCCTTGTACTAATTCTTCTCCATGTCATTCCAATTTTAGTTTATGTGCTGCTGAAGCAAAGCACTGTTGTAAACAGTTGACAAGTAGATAAGTTGCTGCCTTTATAATCTATTAAACCTCTTGTCTATCATTTTTAACTGTTAGAAATCCTCCTACTGCTAGGCACCGGTGGCCCACGCCTGTAATCCTAGCTACTCAGGAGGCTGAGATCAGAGGATCACGGTTCAAAGCCAGCCCAGGCAGGAAAAGTTTGTGAAACTCTTTATCTCCAACAAACCACTCAGAAAACTAGAAGTGGCACTGTGGCTCAAGTGGTAGAGTGCTAGCCTTGAGCTGAAGAGCTTAGGGACAGCGCCCAGGCCCAGAGTTCAAGCCCTGCGACTGACAAAAAAGAAAGAAAAAGAAATCCTGCTGTGAACATAGCTAAGGCTAAAACTAAGGTTTGGACTTAATTTCTGTAGGCCACATACTTGGTTGGCCTAGCCTTTCCAAACCAAAGAATATAGTCGTGTACTTTTTTTTTTTTGGTTGTGGGACTTGAACTCTGGGCCTGAGCACTGTCCCTCAGCTCTTCAGCTCAAGGCAAGCGCTCTACCACTGGAGCTACAGCGCCACTTCCTGTTTTCTCGTGGTTTATTGGGGATAAGAGTTTCTCGGAATTTCCTGCCCGGGCTGGCTTTGAACCGCGATCCTCAGATCTCAGCCTCCTGAGTAGCTAGGATTACAGGCGTGAGCCATTGGCTCCCGGCTTAGTCATGTACTTTGTACAACAGTGTACACCACACAGTCTGGGTGTGTAGTGGGCTGTACCACCTAGGTTCACACCATTGTCATTGAGTCACATATGAATATAATAATAAACATTTTAGAGATTTCATAGATCCCACCTACTCACAGAAGGGTGCTTCTGGCTCTGCCTATGTATTCAGGAGGCTGAGGGAGGTAGATAAAGAGCTTTATATTAGGAAAAATAAAGGAGGGGTAACAATACTCGATCGGAAATGTACTCATTACCCTACTCATGTAACTGTGACTCCTCTATATAGTATCTTTACAATGAAAAATACGTTTTATATATATATATATATATATAAAAGAGTTTTACATTAGCCAGAACTACAGAGTGAGAGCCTAATCCAGGGGAGGAGCAGGAAATGGGGAGTCCCTGTCAGGACTAACGCCCCATTCTCTAAGGCCAGTCCCCGGAGGCACCTCTACCCCAGAACCTAGCTCACACCTGCAGCCATTTTCCTATTGGGCTGGGTCTCAATTTTGAGGGCCAAGGGCCTGCAAGCTGGCTAGCTTGTGTGTGTCACTGGAGATCAAACCAGCATCTCACAGTGCTACATGAACACTGTACCACTAAGTCAACGCCATCCCAGCTTCTGTTTGTTTATTGCAGAATTTATATGACCTAGATGAAGAGGATGATGTTTTAGCACCTATTCCTGCTAAACAGATGAAGTTTTCAGCCTCAGGAGGCTTTCTTCACCAGACGGTATGGTGTTTTCCCTTCTCTTACCTCACTGGGTGTGTCTCAAGAGCTGGATGGAAGGGTTGTGCAGAATAAGACCTGTGTTAGTGATTCAGGCTCTGAGATCTTCAGAGCTGGAATCAGCCAACTGTTGCCTATTTAGACTAAAATGTGAACAAAATAGCAGCTAGAGAAGCCAGGCACTGGTGGTGCATGCCTGTAATCCTAGCTACTCAGAAGGCTGAGATCTCAGGATCACATTTCAAGCCAGCCCAGGCAGGAAAGTCCTTGAGACTCTCATCTCCAGTTAACCACCAGAAAACCAGAAGTGGTGCTGTGGCTCCAAGTGTTAGAGCACTAGCCTTGAATTGAAGAGCTCAGGGCAGCGCTGTGGCCCAGAGTTCGAGCCCTACAACTGACCAAAACATAAGGTCTTTGTGTTCCTCACAGGGGGCACCAGCTGTCTTAACCCCTCTGGCTCTTCTTCCTTCACATGTGTGTCTAAATAGGCTTGTCTTCGCCACCTTTGCTGATTGAGGAAACACCAAGGCAATAGCCAGCCCCTTGGTTTTGTAAATGTTGAGACTTGGGTGTCCAGGGATTAGCAAAGATCCCATAAGAAGTGAAGTTCAGAGCCAAAGTTCCCAGTGCTGTGCTTGAGGCACTTGGGGGAAATGTGTGAGTGTCCTAGCACATTTTTTGTTGTAGCAGAGCGGTGAAGACTGAGTAAGTTTTAAGCAATGGAAGTTCCTCAGCTCATGGTACTGGAGGCTGGGAAGTCAGAGGGCTGCTTCTGGCACAAGGGCTTTGTCCATGAGCCTTCATGGTAAAAGGACAAGCCAGCATGAGCGTGCACAGGATGGGAGGCATCGGTCCTTCAGGGGACCACTACTGCGGCAACCCAATCCTGTGAGAGTGATCTTAGTCCATTTATGGAGGGAGCGACCTGCCAAGCAAATGTTTATAACGGTCCTCCATCTTAATATATTATTACGGAAATTAAGTTTTAACATGAGTTTTGAAGTTAAAAACCTAGCAGTGAATTATCCCTCAGGAGGAATTCCAGGTATTTTTCCTTTGTTGCTATCCCAAACCTGCTTACTCAGTTGATATTCTAGCATTTGAGCCACACCTCCAGTCCCTGTTTTTTTTCCTATGACAAAACAATTTGCTCTGGTCTCTGGGCTGCTGGATTCCCTGGGTTGCTAGCAAAACCCACGGGCCCCAACACATGGGGGCTGTGTCCAGGAGAGCTTGGGGCCAGGTGTTGTCAGATGTGCTGCAGGAGGAGTGGGCACAGGCATGTGACACAGGGAGGCTGTGGACTGCTTGCCAGCTCCCGCTGGTGAGCACCTCCTTAAGAGCCCAGAGACTCCGCTCGGGTCACCACCTGAGTATGCAGGCCACTCTCGCAACTCTTTTAAGTGATAGATGAAGCAGACCACTTTGTTTCTTTTTTTTTTTTTTTTGTCAGTTGTGGGTCTTGAACTCTGGGCCTGGGCGCTGTCCCTGAGCTCTTCAGCTCAAGGCTAACCCTCTACCACTTGAGCCACAGCAGCACTTCTGGTGGTTAATTGGAGATAAGAATCTCACGGACTTTGCTTCCTGGGGCTGCCTTTGAACCATGATCCTCAGATCTCAGCCTCCTGAGTAGCTAGGATTACGGGTGACAGCCACTGGTGCCTGGCCCACTTTGTTTCTTCACAATAGGACTGAATTGGTCTCGTAAGTAGACCTATTGAATCTGCCACCAAGGGAACTGTCAGTTATGTAGTTAAGTTTCATTGAAAAAAACGCTGTTCCATGGATAAGGAAACAGGTAGAGAAGTAAAATAACTCTGCTTCTAACTAGTAGATCTCGTTGTTGCGCTTCCAGGGCCACATGTGTAACTACTATATTGTACTGGCTCTGGAGACATGGAGTGGCTTGATCTCCAACATGGAGAATGCTTCCCCCACCCTGGTGACCTGCCCCGGCCCCCAACCCCCGGCCCCCGGCCCGGCTTCTCTGGCTGCCTCATTCCTTCTTCCTTGCAGGATCAGTGCTTAGTTACAAACTGTCCCAAAGCAGCAAGAGTACCTACCACCTAACAGTCGGGCAGCTGAGGAGGCTGGGGTTACACATGTGCCTCTGCTGGGCCGCAGGAAGCTGGTGACCACTGCACTGTCAGAGAAGCTTGGTTAGGACTAAGCTTGACCTCCTGTTCTTTATTTTTTACTTATTGTCAGTTGTAGAGCCTGAACTCCAGGCCTGGACACTGTCCCTGAACTCTTTTGCTGAAGATTAGTGCTCTACCTACTGCTTTGAGCCACAGCGCCACTTCTAGTTTTCTGATAGTTAATTGGAGATAAGAGTCTCACAGACTTTCTTATCCAGGCTGGCTTTAAACCATGATCCTCACATCTCAGCCTCCTGAATAGCTAGTATTACAGGTGTGAGCCACCAGTGCCTGGCTGACCTCCCGCTTTTGACCTTCTGACCAGGTGCAAATGTTGGAATGGTGTGGCCTTGTTGAGTTGCAGAAGGCTGCATAGAAGCTTCCTGATGAGCTTTCAATACTGTGCACAGTGGTATCTGTGTGCTTGAGCTTAATGGTCACCAGCTCTCAGCCTTTTCTTTTGTCCTTTTCTGTAGGCTGGGCTGAGCAGTTCCAAGCTCTCCATGTCCAAGGCCCTCCCTCTCACCAAAGTGGTTCAGAATGATGCGTACACTGCTCCTGCTCTCCCCTCTATTCGAACAAAGGCCTTGACCAACATGTCCCGGACACTGGTAAACAAGGAGGAGGCCCCCAAAGAGCTGCCATCTGCTGAGGTAAGGTGATCAGCATGTGTTGGGTAAGCAGAATGTTATATTACCACCCCACCCCACCCCCGTGGGTAATATAGGTAGGCGGAGCCAGCCCTGCAGAGAAATGACCATGTGTAATGAGCAGAGGCTTCCCAGAGGAGAGCTTCTGGGAGCCAGGAGGAAAGAGCAGCTCAAGCCTGTGGGAATCTGGGAGCACTCTGAGCTGGTGGAGTCTAGATGTAGGAGCATTCCAGGCATATTTGGGAAATGAGAGCCTGCTCCTTTAAACACATGGTCATGAGGTACGAATGGGCTCTAGGACCCTAAGGGCCCCGTTGTGTTGCCTCTGTATGGGTTTCCTTGGGGCTGTCCTGGTTGCATATGTAGAGTGAGTGAGTGCTGCTGTGTGGTGATTGCACACCTGTCTTGGACTCCTGGTAACACTCTTGTCTGTGTGGTAGACTGTTCTCAGCCCTTTGGAAGGTACCAAGATGACTGTGAATAATCTGCACCCCCGAGTCACTGAAGAGGACATTGTTGTAAGTACTAGGACTTACCAGAGTTTTCCTTCTCAAACTACTTCTGTGGCCCAGACTCCCCAGCTCACTTCTTTGCTGGAACTCATAGGACTGTATCATCACGGTTCAGCTAATTGCCAAGGGAAACGAGTGCTTGGGGTACAGTCTAGGGGAAACCAAGTGCAAACTTGTACAGCCCTCCTATCTGCGTCACACAGCTTGTGATGGAGGACCAGGGAGGCCTAGGAATTAGTCACTTAGGCATTGTCTGCCTGGCATGGTCCAACCTTCAGCAAGAATTTAGCAGAAGCCATTTTGTTTGGCTACTGTGTCCATTAGGGCAGCAGAGTCCTCCAGAAATCCTGGGCAGGCTTGGCTGGTTCATGCGGGTCAGGGGGAGGTGGTCTATGAAGGCTGCCATCTGCCCAAGCTCTGCCCTCAAGCCACTTGCCTGGCCTGCCTCTGGGGCCTGGGCTGTGTCCTAGTGACGCCTAAGTCCGTCCTGTACCACAGTGTCACATCCACTGTTGGGGATTTTTCTGCGAGTCCTCTGGAATTTCCATGTTGATTCTGTGTTTTATCATTGTGTCACCCTTTCATCATGGTGACACACAGTGCCTGCCATAAACAACTGAAGGGAGGAAAGTCTTACTTTAGCTTATGGTTCAGAGATTTCAGTCCATGGTCTTTTGGTCCATGGCTGTGGGCCTACGGTGAGGCAGAGCCTCCCGCGGTACATGAGAGACAGGCACAACTGTGCCGCACTGTTCTAGCTGTCTCTCACCCAGTCAAGTTCATAGTCAGCATTAACCATCAATATGGGGGTGGGGGTAGAAAGGGATAGTGGGAGAACAACAAAGGAGGGAGTAACAATACTCGACAAGAAATGTACTCATTACCTTATTCATGTAACTGTAACCCCTCTGTATAGCATCTTCACAATAAAATAAAAAATTAACCACAAAAACATCACTAGGATATTAAGCGTGGCTGAAGTGGAATGATGTTTATCTAGTAAATCACAGCCCTGGGTTTAGTTCCTAGCCCTGTATAACTTTATGTATTTATTCATTTATTTATTTATGATCCTGGTACTGGAGCTTAAACTCAGAACCTGGGAGCTGTCCCCTGAGCTTTTTTGCTCAAGGCTGGCACTCTGCCACTTGGGCCATAGCTCCACTTCTGGCATTAGTAATCATTACTAAATGTCTCACAGCTTTTCTTCCCCAACAGGCTTTGAACCACAGTCTTTAGATTTCAGCCCCCTGAGTAGCTAGGATTGTGGATGTGAGCCATCAGCACCAAGCAAAAATTAAAAGAACATAAACTAACCCTACAGACCTTTTCATAAGCCTTCTCTTTGCCCTCACAATGAGTTTAAGGCAGGTACAGATGGAGAAATGGCAGTGCTGATGGCCTCTGTCTGGTCCCTACCTGCTGTTTCTTCTCTGGCCTCAGGCCTCTTGCCAGTGGAACGAGGAGGAGGATGGAGTTGATGACACGTGTACAAAGCATATCTTCCTGGCTGATAAATGCCAAGTCCCAGTGACCTAGCCTGGGCTTGTCTTTGACTTGGCGACTGGCTACCTGCCTCTGCTGAGCTGGGCACTAGGTTAGCACGGTCCTGGGGAGCTCCTCTAGCCGCCCACCCAGAACTATTGGCAACAGATTTCCAAGTGACAGTTGAGCAACTCTTTGGTGAGCCTACACTCCTCCTCACAACAGCTCTCAGAGGAAGTCTAAAATGGCTTGTCAAGGTGGTCACTGAGAACTTTCTAGTAAATTTGTGGAAGGTCACAGATACAGGAAGGTGTGTAAGCCCAGTCCTCCTCGTTACTGTTAGCTTGTCTTCTCTGATCCCAGACGAGCCTTTCCAGGCACTGGTAGCTCACACCTGTATCCTAGCTGCTCAGGAGGCTGAAATCTGAAGATCTTGATTTCCAACCTAGGCAGGAAAGTCCATGAGACTCCTAATCTCTAATTAGTAAAAGGCCAGAAGTGGAGCTCAAATGGTGATAGAGCCCTAGCCTTGAGAAAAAAAGCTCAAGGACAGCTCCCAGACCCTGAGTTCAAGGATGCATTGGTATGTATGCGCACGCACGTGTGTGTGCGTGCACACACCAAAAAGAAACCTTGATCACAGCATACCTGTGGTACAGCTACTGTGATATTCTGAGTGTATGTACATATAGAAAGTCCAGAATTCTCTCCAACTCCAACCCCCTCTTGTTCTTCACAGGAGCTTTTCTGTGTGTGCGGAGCACTTAAGCGAGCTAGACTGGTCCATCCTGGGGTGGCAGAGGTGGTTTTTGTGAAGAAGGATGATGCCATTACAGCATATAAAAAATACAACAACCGGTGTCTGGATGGTAAGTTGGGAAGAAAGCAATCACTGTACTCCTGGCTCACCTTCTGCTTGTTGAGGCAAGCAGGGCTTCTGGAGCAGGCTTTCCTGTGAGATAAATGGAAAGGCATCCTGAACAGTCCCTTTGGGGGCTCCTGGACACCAGGGTCAGTCAGAGATGTGCATTCTTACAGTATGCAGCTGTAGCTTCTTGCTAAACAGAGCTGCAAGTCTATAAAGAAATGAGATACTGTCATGCCACTACTCAGTAGTCTGAGATGTGAGGATCACGGTTCAAAGTCAAACTGCGGGGCTGGGAAGGTGGCTCAGTGGTAGAGTGCTTGCCTAGCATGCATGAAGCCATGGGTTCGATTCCTCAGCACCACATAAGCAGAAAAAGCCAGAAGTGATGTTGTGGTTCATGTGTTAGAGTGCTGAAGAGCTAAGGCCCAGAGTTCAGGCCCCATGACCAGCAAAACAAAAAACAAAGTCAAGCTGGGCATGAAAGTCTATGAGAATCTTTTTTTTTTTTTTTTTTTTGGGGGGGGGGGGGGTGTCCAGTTGTGGGGCCTGAGCTCCGGGCCTGGGCGCTGTCCCTCAGCTCTTCAGCTCAAGGCTAACACTCTACCACTTGAGCCAAAGCACCACATCTGGCTTTTTTCTTTTTGCTTATGTGGTGCTGAGGAATCGAACCCAGGGCCTCATGCATACAAGGCAAGCGCTCTACCACTGAGCCACCTTTCTAGCCACAAGTCTATTAGAATCTTATCTCCAGTTAGCCACTAGAAAACTGCAATAGAGCACTAGCCTTGAGCAGAAAATCTCAGGGACAGTGCCCATGCCCTGAGTTCAAGACCCTTACTGAAAAAAAATAAAAAGCTAAGGAACAATGCCTAGGTTCTGATAAGTCCTAGGGCCAGCAGGAAAGGAAAAGTGGGACACCATTTCTTTATAGACGATTCACTAAAGAATTTTGCCTGGGAAGCCAAGAGCCATGGCTAGCAGCTCCAGATGTCCAGCTCACCTCCAGGGCACAGGTTCTTCAGAGGCCTGCAGCCTTGTTAAATGTTGAGCTCTGCTCTGATGCTGCCTCCCTTTGTTCATCCAGATGGCCTGTAGTAAGGAGCTCTTACCTGCTACACTCCCTTTCCGGCTTGCCGTTTGTTCTCAGTGTTGCTGTTTACTGCTATGTCTCTGTCTGGTTTTTTTTTTTTTTTTTTTTTGGGGGGGGGGGGGAGGGTCCAGTCGTGGGGCCTGAACTCTGGGCCTGGGCGCTGTCCCTCAGCTCTTCAGCTTAAGGCAAACGTTCTACCACTGAGCCACCTTCCCAGCCTCTGTCTGTTCTTTTATTTCCAACCCTTTTTCTTGTATCTTTGAAAATAAGTGTATTTTGGGCTGAGAAGGTCGACAAATATATGTTCACTTAGAAACACTTTTGTTACTGAAAAATACCAGCCATCTGATTTCTGAGTCTGAAGCAAGTCATCCTCTTTTGCTGGCGAAGGGCTTGCCTCAGGCTTGGCTGCTGACTGATGGGGAGCTGGTGGTTGAGGTCAGCTATGGCCAGTCCCCCACACTGATGGCCTCTACCTTTCATGAATAATTGCCCTGGAATGTGCTGTGCTGAATGATAACATGTACCACAGCAAATGTTTCAAAATTGGCATCAGAGGCCAGGCATAGTGGTTCTTACCTATAATCCCAGCCCTCAGGAAGTTGAAGGAAGAGTGCCAATTGCAGGCCAACCCAGGCTATATAGCAAGACAGTGTCTCAAACAATAAACAAAAATTGACAGGCTGAGGGATAGGAAATGTGCTTGCTGAGCAATGAACAAGACCCAGGTCTCAGTCACTTGAGCCAGTCCTCTGTGTTACCAAGGAAGTGCTTGCAGTCTCCAGAGGGCACCTCCACAGTATTCATCACACCATCTCCAGGAGCAGGCTCCACGAGGAGCCATCGAAATCCTGGTATGTGATTGCAGCAATCAGCCATCTCCTAATTCTAGTTCTCATGTGCAGTTATGTCCTCCAAACTTTTGCTGACATGAGTACAACTAGGGGCACAGGGGGTGGGTGGAGCCCCAAGGCTATGAGCATGCTGGGTACTCTGTTGCTGAACTGCACACACCCCCAGCCAAAAAACGAATGTTCTTAATGGCATCTAGAACGATGAGCTCTTGCCAGCTTTCCCATTTCAGTTGGCCAGTTCCATCAGAAGAGTCACTGTTAAGGTGTAGCAATAGTCTTACAAAAAAGAATTGGAAGTCAGAATGACCTCTTGATTCTGCAGAAGGCCTGTTGAATTAGAAGGCATAAGAGGGTCTCATTGTATATCTCCAGCCAAGTAGCATTGTTAATGAGCAGTAATATTTTGTAAGAATTTTCTTTTCTTTTTTTTGAGATTTTTTTTTGTGTGTGTGTGAAAATACTGTACAGAGGGGTTACAATTATTACATGGACAAGATAATGAGTACATTTCTTATCAAGCATTGTAGCCTCCTCCTTTGTTTCCCCTTCCCATCCTCCCCCCACCCCCCCCCCCACCAAGAATTTTCTTTTCTCTGGTACTTAGGTCCCAATAGAGAGTCTAAAATATTCAAAACCATGATAGAACCATATGCTGTCATCCAGCATTGTTATTTCACTTAGAGCACAGGCAGGATAAAGACTCCTCTTCCTCCCTCCTCCCTCTCTCCTTCCTCCTCCTGCCTTCCTTCTTCCTTCTCCTCCCCTCCCCCCCTCCTCTCTTCTTGGCAGTGCTGTGGTTTGAACTCCAAGCTTTGCATTCACTCTGATTTCTTGCTCTGCTAGCTGGCTACCACTTGAGCATGTCTCTAGCTTCACCTTTTGATGATTATTTTTGAAGTGGACTGCAGCTAGCTTTTTTTTGCCAAAACTGGCCTCAAACTATGGACCTCATGTCTCCGCCTCCTAAGCAGCCAGAATTAATAAGCGTTTGCCACCAGTACCTCATATTTTATATGCATTGGTATTTATTCCTTCATGGACAAGGAGAAATGTGACCATATGCTTTTGAATCCTTATTTCACATAGTTTCATAGTGTAAACATTTTCTTTTCCTACCTGCTTCACAAATAATTTGGGATGGTTTCTCACTGAATTGTTCCTTTCTCATTTCCTCATCAAGTCTTTCTATGAAGCAAAGCTCCTTGCCTTTCTTCCAGGTGTTTGCTACTGCGGTTCCTGCACATCCTACCACCCTGGGATTCTGTTTGCTTAGTTACTTGCATTATTCATTTTCTGCTGCTATAATGAAATCCTAGGAGCTGGGTATTTTGTAAAGAAAAGAGGTTTATGGGGGTTCAGGGCTGTGGCACTGGCATCACTTTGGCTAGGTGAGGACTAGTTATTGAACCAGCTCTGCTCATCTCATAATACACTACTCACTAAGGTGACACCTTTTGCAAAGGGGATGAGCCACTCATGGAGATGGGAGAGCTAGTCTAAGAGCTGCCCTCCTGAGAGATAGGGTTTAGGAGCATTAATGCACAAAGGAATGGGGGGGAGGGGGGGAGTGTAACTCAGTGGTAGAGCATTGGCCTCTCATGGCTGAGACCTGGGGCAAAGTGAAATAGCTGGTGTCTGGTCTGGGCGATAAAGCATCAGGCCTCTCCATAGGACACATGCTCTGAGGGGAAGCTTGGGCCTGGTGACGTCACAGAGTCATCCTTCAGACACTTTCAGGCTCAGGAGAAGGCTTGTGTTTCACCTGGCTTGAGATTCCTCCAAGTTCCTGAAAAACAATTGAGGCACACTTGTTTCCATGGTGGCCCAGACCCAGAGCATTGTCTATAGCAGAGCAGGTAGCTCCTGAAACTGGGAGGAGCAGACCTGCCCACGGCAGGCAAGCTGGCCTTGCACTCAGTCCCCTGCCTCAGCCACCGAAGTCCTTGGTTCACAGACAGGTACCACCAGGCTCAGCTGAAGTGGCAGGCTTTGACCCTCGGTTGTGAAGGTGGTGGCTCTGTCCTTGTGTGAGGAATGGAGTTCCCATAGAGCCTTTTCTCCCCTCTGTTTTCAGGGCAACCAATGAAGTGCAACCTTCACATGAACGGCAATGTCATCACCTCTGAGCAGCCCATCCTGCTGTAAGTCCAACACAGGGGTCCTGCGGCAGGGGTCGGAGGGGGGGGGGGAGTTCGCTTTTCCTGGTCTCTTTATTCTTAGGGATGAATTATCTGCACCACTATGTAAGATATGTTGTAAATGTTTTGGGGTTTGTTTGTTTTTTGGGGGGGTGGTCATGGCCATGGCTTGAACTCTGGGCCTGGGTGCTGTCCCTCGGTTCTTCAACTCAAGGCTAGCTCTCTACCACTTGCGCCACAGCACCACTTCCGGTTTTCTGGTGGTTTCATGGCCAAGCGGGGCGCTGGTGGCTCACACCTGTAATCCTAGCTACTCAGAAGGCTGAGATCTGAGGATCGCAGTTCAAAGCCAGCCTGGGCAGGAGAGACCGTGAGACTCCTATCTCCAATAAACCACCAGAAAACCAGAAGTGGTGCTGTAGCTCAAGTGGTAGAGCACTCGCCTTGAGCTGAAGAGCTGAGGGACAGCGCCCAGTCCCAGAGTTCAAGCCCCACGACCGACAAAAAAAAAAAAAAAAAAAGGGGGTTTCATGGCCTAGGGCTGGGAAGGTGGCTCAGTGGTAGAGTGCTTGCCTTGCACTCATGAGGCCCTGGGTTTGATTCCTCAGCACCACATTTGCAGAAAAAGCTGGAAGTGGTGCTGTGGCTCAAATGGTAGAGTGCTAGCCTTGAGCTAAAGAGCTGAGGGACAGTGCCCAGGCCCAAAGTTCAAGCCCCATGACCGACCAGAAAAAAAAAAAAAGTTTCATGGACTTTCCTGCCCGGGCTGGCTTTGAACTGTGATCCTCAAATAGCTAGGATTACAGGCATGAGTCACTGGCACCTGGCTTTCGCATTCTGCTTTGTAACCTGGTTAAGTTTAGGGAGTCACTGGGCTACAGAGACTTAAATCAACCATTACTTTAGGCCATGCTAGTGTCCTGATGTGAGCTAATAACCAGAAAGGCATGCAGGGTTTGCCTGCAGCAGGCCTTTCCTGTCTTCTCAGTAGTTGATGTGAGAGCTGTGGGAAGCATGCACAGTGCTATACCCAGGGAAAATAGGGTCCTCTCCGCATGTCAGGGCGACTCCCTGACACCAGCCAACTGGAACTTGTCTTTGTTCCCCACAGGCGGCTGAGCGACAGCCCCGCAGTGAAAAAGGAGAGCGAGCTGCCCCGGAGGATGGCTCCGGCCTCCTCCTCCGCCCCCGCTGCTGAGGTGGACCCTGACACTATCCTGAAGGCGCTCTTCAAGTCCTCGGGGGCCTCGGTGACCACGCAGCCCACAGAATTCAAAATCAAACTTTGAGAGGGCAGAAACACAAGGGTGGCTCTGTCTGCCAAGGCAAAGCTCGTGACCAATGGGCCCTTGGACTGAAGCCCTGAACATGGAGAGGGCTTCCTCACTGGACGGGGCCTGCCTTTCTGTGTTCTTCTACCCTGTGCGCTTCTGTACATTAACGTTTCTTGTAGTTCATTTCTTCTCCCCTCCACCTCTTCACCAACGTAGGCCTGTGTGTGTCAGTGGGAGCCTCCCCTCCCCTCTGCCCAAGCTGATTTTTCCTCTAGAAATGGTGCGCTGAATTCTCTGGGTGGCATTCCTGTGGCCTGATGGGAAGCTTCCTTCCGTGCAGGGCGACACTGTTTGGGGAGGTTGCCTTCCCTTCTAAGTTCTTCAAACACTGCAGAGGGGTCCTGCAGTGCTGGTGGGCACGGTCTCACCTTGAAAGCCCATCCACCTAGCCAGTGGAGGAGCAGCCTGGGCAGGGATCAGTTTCCAGGCCTCTCATTGGTCTGCAGAGGGCCTTTGGCAAGGGCAGGATGGGCTGTGGCTCTGCACACAGCTGTGCACCACCAGCTCAGGCATCCCAGCGTGAAATCCCAGAGCCATATTTTCCGTGTTCCTCGAGCTGTGCCGAATGCCCAGTCTGGTCTCCTGCGCCTTGTGAGGATCACTGCTGGGCCCTCTTGGCCCAGCATGGAGGTCATCACAGGCTAGCTTTGGTGCAGGCTCTTTCTGGTCTTGGTCATCTACAAACACCCGCCAGGGATGCCAGAAGCATGTGTTTTTCTGCCTTGGCCAAGGGGATGGATAAAGGAGTGTCTTGCAGAGCATAGCTCTGACAGGCAAATGAGTGTTTCCCTACGGCTTCCTCCCAGGCAGCTGGGGCAGAGCTATAGGACACAGGCATGCTCTCCAAATGGCAGGAGGAATTGTTCCTGGTGCCCTTTCGCAGAGCCCTGCTGCATTGTGGGGTGTGCACAGTGCACGGCCAGAGCCACGCAGGCTGGGGGCAGGGCTGGAGGGACACTACCATCACTTCTGCAGCCCAGGAAGCAAAGTGGGCTGAGGTGCCTCCACTTCCCTGAGGCGAGTTAGTTGATAGACCAAGCAGGAAAGATCAGGAGCTTGAGCCCAGCTATAGTTTCACAGCTCTGAGGTGCTGCGCTTCTCTCCCCCTCTGGTTCAAACGTTCCTTTCTAGCAGCTGAAAGACATTCCTTCTTTCTATACTGGCCCCTTCTGGGCCAGGAGGCCCCCCCAGAAAGCACTAGGACCTCACTTGTTGGACCCAGTTGAGAGTAGAGGCGTCAGGGGACCTGCCCACATGGCTCTTCCCTCCCTCCCCTCCTTTCCCAAGCCAGGTGTGCGCTCTGCAGCCCCTGGCCCTGTAGGGACTTGGTTTCCCCTGCTCCATAAACTGTCTTCTTGGGGAACAGCAGAGGGTAGTGGGCAGCGCTGTGCCCTCCTCCCCCACTCCCCCACTGTGTCTCATGTTGAGGAGAGGAAAAGGCATTAAGATACGGACTTGTCTGTATCACTTTCCATTTCTGAATAAACGTTTGTTATTCCTACTTCCTTTGAAGATTGTGCTCATGGCTTTAGTGGGACCTGGCACCAGAAAGCAGCCATTTGATCCTGAGAGGCTGTGAGCACATCTGGGCGGGAAGTGCTGGCCTGGCCTCCAGCACCTGCCCAGGCTCTTGTGCCTCACAGTGCAAAGCACTCTTCTCCAACACAGCTTAGGGCCTTGGTCTGAAGAAACTGTACTCATGAGTGTAATGTATCCCTTACATGAAATATGACATTAGAAAAATCAGTTATTGAGGCTGGGAAGGTGGCTCAGTGGTAGAGTGCTTGCCTTGCATGCATGAGGCCCTGGGTTCGATTCCTCAGCACCACATAAGCAAAAATTTAAAAAGCCGGAAGTGGCGCTGTGGCTCAAGTGGTAGAGCGCTAGCCTTGAGCTGAAGAGCTGAGGGACAGCGCCCAGGCCCAGAGTTCAGGCCCCACGATCAGACCCAAAAAATAAAGTAGAAGCTGGGTGCTGGTGGCTCACACCTATAATCTAGCTACTCAGGAGGCTGAGATCTGAAGACTGGTTCAAAGCCAGTCCAGGCAGGAAAGTCTGTGAGGCTCTTTATCTCCAATAAACCACCAGAAAACGAAGTGGCACTGTAGCTCAAGTGGTAAAGCACTCGCCTTGAGCTGAAGAGCTCAGGGACAGCGCCCCACAATCATGAGGCCCTGGGTTCCATTCCTCAGCACCACATAAGCAGAAAAAGCTGCAAGTGATGCTGTGACTCAAGTGGTAGAACAGCAATAAACTACTCAGAAAAAGTCAGAAGTGATGCTGTAACTCAAATACTAGTCGAGCACAGAGAAGTTCAGGCCAACAGAGCGCAGGCCCTGAGTTTCCCCATCCCTCCTCTCACCTCCCTCCACCCCCCAAAAAAACAATCTGGAGGCAGAGTATCTCAAGTCTGAGCTTACCTCAAAAAATAAAGCAGGGATTGAAAGTGCTTGTCCCTATACCTTTTTATTTTTTGGTGGGTCGTGGGGTTTGAACTCAGGACCTGGGTGCTGTCCCTGCGCTCTCCAGCTCACGGCCAGCGCTCTATTGCTTGAGCCACAGTGCTACTTCGGGTTTTCGAGTGATTTATTAGAGATAAGAGCCTCACAGAGTTTCCTACCTGGGCTGGCTTTGAGCAGCTAGGATTACAGGCGTGAGCCACCGGCGCCCAGTCCCTATATCTTTTAATACAGTCTTCCTACCTGCAGCTGCCATATAGCTAGATTACAGGCGTGAGCCACGAGTGCCTAGGTATTCACTCTTTTTAACTTTCCTCTAATAACAGCGCATGGGTTAAACCAGTTCAAAGTTATTTTGAGTATTGTACATTTCGTTTTATCTAGTAGTAAATATACACTTTCCTTGGTTTAAATCTTTGTTTAATTTTTCATGTTAGCCATAGCACTGGCTGGTCTCTCAGTGATCTCAGGAAGTGCCTCTTGTATCCTAATCTACATTGAGAAAGAAACAGATGTGTTTTTGTTTTGCCGGTACTGGAGTTTGAGCTTGGCCTCCTGCTTGCTAAACTGGCATTCTACTATTTGAGCCACACCCCTAGCTCTAGCAACGGCTTTGAAAGATGAAGTAGTCTTCCGACTAACACTTTCCTGTCATTCATGGACCCACAAACCTCCAATTTAAACCTACAAGTATGCTTTTATGATCTTCCAAGCTTAGTGATAAGGACGAAAGTCAAGAGAACCCTCAACAGAATGTCACTTTTATTTTGTACCCATACATTTTGCTAGAAAGACCTAAAGTTTGTTTTCTTCCTGTAGTGTGATTTCGCTGGGGCTTCTTGGAGATTAAGCCCCCACAGGAGGTTTCTCCCCGTCCACGGTGGCAGTCAGGGTCAACTACATTCTGTCAGTTCACCTGGGGCTAGAACAGCAATCACAGCTTAAGTCATGCAGCTGCCACCTGCAGCCTCCCTTGTCACTTGGAAGTCTGGGTCAACAAGCTTTATGTGCAATCCAAGAGAACAGAAGCTGTAAGCTTCTTAAGTCTTGGGCCTGAAAATCCCAGTGAATCACTTCTGTGGCTCAAAGCAAGCCAGCTGACAGCTAGACCCTGCAGAGCCAGCCACTCCTTTGTGGAAAAAGTGACATATCCAGGAGATGTAGACCCAAACAGCTCCCCCTGACTTGGGGTGTTGAAAGGGTAGATTTTTTTTTTTTTTTTTGTCAGTCGTGGGGCTTGAACTCTGGGCCTGGGCGCTGTCCCTCAGCTCTTCAGAAGCTCAAGGCGAGCGCTCTACCACTTGAGCTACAGCGCCACTTCCGGTTTTCTGGTGGTTTATTGGAGATAGGAGTCTCACGGTCTCTCCTGCCGGGGCTGGCTTTGAACCGCGATCCTAAGATCTCAGCCTTCTGAGTAGCTAGGATTACAGGCGTGAGCCACCAGCGCCTGGCTTGAAAGGGTAGATTTAATTAAAAGGTTAAGGCTGGGAATGTGGCTTAGTGGGAGAGTGCTTGCCTCACATGCATGAAGCCCTGGGTTCGATTCCTCAGTATCACATAAACAAAAAAGCCAGAAGTGGCACTGTGGCTGAAGTGGTAGAGTGCTAGCCTTGAGCAAAAGAAGCTCAGGGACAGTGCCCAGTCCTGAGTTCAAGCCCTAGGACTAGCCAAAAAAAAAGGCTAAAACTGGTAGATTAGTTAGGGCTTGGCCCCCGAGAGCGTCCTGCGGTGGAAGGAAGCATTGCTGGCGCAGGAGACCAGACTGAGAAATGTGAACTGTCTCACAAATCCCAGAACTATGTAGAGATTAGGAAGTCCCGCCTCCATCCTTCAGAGTTCTTCATAATTTTAGTGGGGGTGGGGTACAGTGGCTGAGCAGGTCTCTGGTTTCCCTGCACCTCATTTTTATAGGAGTGGCCAGAGTACAGCCCAGGGTTAAAAAAATCTGTAGGCAGACACGGGGGCTCTGGCAGCGGAGCTACACCACCGAATGGATGTTTCCTGCTAGAAGGCTGCAAGTCTAGCCATCTCTGCTGGCTGTAGAGCCAAAAGGGCTGAATGAACAGCCTCTGCCCACTGGGAGGAACATCAGAGGACAATTCTGTATCAATGTGACATTTTTGGCAAGGACACTGGGAGCCAGCCCTGATATCCCACGGGATAGCTCCTTTGAAGCGTGGGAGACAATGGCCCTACTTACTGCATGAGAAGCTGTAATAAAGTGATCTTGGTCAGATACTGAGAAGGTGCCAGAACTCAGGCAGGTGGATGTGCTGCACAGTGGGATTATGGAAGGCAGAGAAGCCAGCGAGTATGTTCCCACCGGAGGCCGCCTTTACTCTAGCATGATGAATGTATCATCCAGTGCCCGGTGAGGAAGCTCAGCCAGGCTGTGCTCAGACGCCAGGATTGAAATGATCAGGAGCGGCGGACATGGTGGGAGGGATGCTGAGCCACAGAGATTTGGTGGCGGTGACTGCCAAAGAGGCAGCCAGGCTCCAAGGGTCGGCAGAGCTGTGCGGCGATGGCTAGGACCATGGTTTTCTTAGATCATGTTGGAGGTGAGGTTGGGACTGAATAGCAACAGACCTGACAGTCTACAGACAACAGGGATTTCAGTCCTAAAAGCTGGGAAGGCAAATGTCCAGGTACCAGTGTGTGGCCTGGTGAGGACCTGCCTTCCTGTTGTTGCCATGCGGCGGCACTTACCCAGTGTTCACAAAGAGCAACATGCAGATTGGGAGGATGAGGAAGGTCTCTTTTTTATCATCTTTCTTTTGGTTGGCGTGGGGCTTCAACTCAGGGCCTGGGCGCTGTCCCTGAGCCTCTTTCTGCCCAAGGCTAGAACTCTACCACTTGAGCCACAGCATTACTTGTGGTTTTTGAGTGGTTAATTAGAGATAAGAGTCAGGGACTTTTCTGCCCAGGCTGGCTGATCCGTGATCCTCAGATCTCAGCCTCCTGAGTAGCTAGGAATCCAGGTGTGAGCCACCAGCACCCGCAGGAAGGTCTCTTTGTATAAAACCACGTGGTATCTCCACCCTACTAATCCCATTTAATCCTAAAAATGTCCCAAAGGCCTACTTCCAAATACCCTTAACATACAAATTTGGAGGCAAAAAAAAAAAAAAAAACAAATTTGGAGGCTAAAACTTGCCATTGCTCTAACAAAACCATGAGATAATCCATTTAAGAAGCAAAAAGGAGCCGGGCGCTGGTGGCTCACGCCTGTAATCCTAGCTACTCAGGAGGCTGAGATCTGAGGATCGCTGTTCAAAGCCAGCCCGGGCAGGAGAGACTGAGACTCCTATCTCCAATAAACCACCAGAAAATCGGAAGTGGCGCTGTAGCTCAAGTGGTAGAGCGCTCGCCTTGAGCTGAAGAGCTGAGGGACAGCGCCCAGGCCCAGAGTTCAAGCCCCACGACCAACAAAAAAAAAAAAAAAAAGAAGCAAAAAGGGGTCGGGTGCCAGTGGCTCACGCTTGGAATCGTAGCTACTCAGGAGGCTGAGATCTGAGGATCACAGTTCAGAGCCAGCCCAAAGGTGGCTCAGTGGTAGAGTGCTTGCCTACATTGCATGAGACTCTGGGTTCAATTCCTCAGCACCACATAAGTAGAAAAAGCTAGAAGTGGTGCTGTGGCTCAAGAGGTAGAGCACTTGCCTTAAACTGATGAGCTGAGGGACAGCACCCAGACCTAGAGTTCAAGCCCCATGACCAAGAAAAAAAAAAAAAAAAGCAAAAAGGTTTATTATAGCTCACAGTTTAGTTTTGGGGTGAGTCTAGTTTGGTTTCCCTTGCCTTCTCAAAGTGTAGTTGCCAAAATGATACTATGTACACTTCACTCTTCCCTCTACTCGGAATCTCATAGCGGCCCCATCCCAGAGTAAGTTTAGGAGCTTCCCATAGCTCATCCTTTTTTCATTTCCGCTCATCCTTTTTTCAGCTACAGTTACCATAGTTCCTATTTCTCTTGCACTTGGCTAGCTTCTACCTCAGGGCCTTGGAACTTGCTATTCCCTCAGCCCACAAGACTCTTCTTCCCAAACACCACAATACTGCCCTTCCTCATTTCCTTTATGTGGGGAAAAAATGGTGGCCCCACTAAAGGGGGGGGGGGCATTGGTCTTGGCAGGATAGTTCCATTTATTGACAATATTTAAAGCTGCTACACTCCTTTCTCTCTTCCTTTTCTCCTTCTATTTCGCTTCTTTGTGTGTTTCTGGTCTTGTTAAACTCCAGGTAGGCTGGAGATGGACCTTGTGGCACAATCCATGCTTGTGGGAGGGAGAGGAGGGAACCGGAAGGGAGGAAGGCAGGGCGAGCTCTTTCCCTCCTTGGGACGCCTTCGGCGAGGGGCGGGGCCTGTGCCCAGAGGGCGGGGTCACACGCGATGCTGTGGAGATGGAAACGCGGACGCTCCCAACGCGGAACTACAACTCCCAGCGGCCCCCGCGCTTCCGGTCGGCGGCAAGATGGTGGCGCGCAGCAAGAAAGGCGCGGCGCGGGACGCGGTGGATACCCCCAGTCCGCCAGGGTACACAGGTGAGCGGCTCCGGGACGTGAGGCCAGGGGACAGACAGACTCCGTGGGGAGCGGGGTTGGGAGTCGAGGTGGCCAGGCCGTGTGGTCGGCGCCAGCCGCGGGCCTGGCCGGTCGCGAGGCCCACGCGGCGCCCCGGACCCCGCTGTCCGCACAGGTCCCGGGCGAGCCCATCTCGGCGACGGCGTTCTCCCCGCCGGCCTCTGGAACCAGACCGCGCCAGCCCGTTGCCGTGCGTGTGCTTCTTGGGGTTTGGACTCGGAGCCTCTGCCGGCCGGGCAGCCGCCCCCCCACTCGATGCACTCCCCCAGCCTCTGATTTTCGAGGCAGGGTCTCGACGGATGCCCTGGTGGCCTGGGCTGCCATCGTCTTATTTGTGCAAGGGATGACAGGCCCAGGCCACTTGTGCAGCCGTGTTGCTCCCTCAGAAGCTGGCACAGCAGGCATGCACCACACACCTAGCGCCTGCTTGAGATGGAGTCTCACAAGCTCCTTTTTTTTTTCCCCTTATATTTTTAAAAAAATTACTTTATTTCTATTGTGAAAATACCGTACAGAGGGGTTACAATTACATGGGCAAGATAATGAGTACATTTCTTATCAAGCATTGTTGTCTCCTTTGTTTCCCCTTCCCATCCCTTCCCATCTCCCCCCTCCCCCAACCCCCAAAGTTGTAAAGTTCGTTTTTCGACATAACGACTTGTGCATCTCATTGTTGCAATGGGTCCACCGGTATCCCTGTTTAAGCGATTTGTTTTTTTCCCTTCCCCTCCATAAATTATACCAACATCAAATACAGTGAAAGCAGGGGTTATATGGTGGGGGAGGGACATACAAAGCAACAAAAAAAAATCATCTTATAAATATGTTAGAAACAATCGCAAGAAAGAAACCATTTGAATATTTATCTTGGGGTTCATTTCACCTAACATCAACTTATCTGACCTTTTCTGCTTGTCTCAGACATATACTAGTTATTGCAAATAAGGGAAACCTTGGGACCTATGTTTCTTTGGGCCTGGCTTACTTCACTTAATATTTTTTCCAAGTCTTTCCATTTCCTAACAAATGGGACAATGTCATTCTTTCTGGTGGAGGCATAGAGTTCCATTGTGTATATATACCACATTTTCTTGATCCATTCATCTACTGAGGGGCATCTGAGTTGGTTCCATATCTTAGCTATGGTAAATAATGCTGCAATAACCATAGTTATGCTGGTAGCTTTAGTATGGGCTTGTTTATGATCATTTGGGTAAATGCCCAAAAGTGGGATTGCTGGGTCATAGGGGAGCTCTATGTGGAGTCTTTTGAGGAACCTCCATACCACTTTCCAAAGTGGCTAAACAAGTTTACACTCCCACCAACAGTGCAGTAAGGTTCCCTTCTGTCCACATCCCCTCCTGCATTAGAGTTCTTGATTACAGCCATTCTAACTGGGGTGAGGTGGTATCTCAATGTTGTTTTGGTTTGCATTTCTTTTGTTTTGTTTTTGTTAGTCATGGGGTTTGAACTCTGAGCTTGGGTGCCTGTCCCTGTGCTCTTCAGCTCAAAGCGAGTGCTCTACCGCTTGAGCCACAGTGTCACTTCCGGTTTTCTAGTGGTTTATTGGAGATAAGTGTCTCACGGACTTTTCCGCCCGGGCTGGCTTTGAAACGTGATCCTCAGATCTCAGCCTCCTCAGTAGCTAGGATTACAGGCGTGAGCCACTGGTGCCTGGCTTTGATTTGCATTTCTTTTATGGCTAGGGTCACAAACTCCTTTTTGCCTGGGCTGGCCTATAACCGAAATTCCTAGGACTCTTGTTTCTACCTCCCAAGCAGCTAGTATTACAGGCAGGAGCCACTGCCCCCAGCTTCTCTTGGTTATGCAGGCTTTTTACCCGTTTACTTGCTGTTTGTTAGGAAAATGGAGGAAACCAGAAAGGGAATAGACGGGACTGGATTGTCAACAGGCTAAGGACTGTGTTGCTGGCGAGGCATACAGACCTTCACGCTGGTGTGGAGGTTGTTCGAAGGACTGGATTTTGGGGCCGGGTTTATATAGGTCTTAACAAGGAAGCAGAAAATTAAAAAATGGGGCTGTGATCTCCTGGGGCCAAGGGCAGTCTTTGACCAGACCCAGAGAATGCTCTGCCTGGGTGGGGGGGTTTTCAGCTAAGCCAAGGTCACAAGCTGGTGCTTTGTTTGATGTACCTGGGGGAACAAGGCGGGAGTCCGTCCCTCACCCTTCATTGAGACCTGAGCTTCCCACATAAGGAGCGGCCGTGGCATCCCCACTGTGAGATGATCCAAGTCTCTGGATTTATGGAGACTGGCCTTTGTGGGATGCCAGTGATTAAAGAATTCCACTTGGTACGGACCTAATGTGAAGGTTCAAGCAAGTTTACTCTCAGAGTCTGCACAGGACATGGCCTAGCAGAGGTCCTGGTGAAGGATGATGGATGGATGGATGGGCAGAAAGGGACATACTGCAGGGAAGTGGCGTGAGTGCTCTGCAGGCCTCAGCCTGGGTAGCCCGAACTTGATTTCCCCTGTCATCATTTCTCTTCTAGCCATTCCCATCAAATTCTCAGAAAAGCAGCAGGCTTCTCATTACCTCTATGTGAAAGAACACAGAGTTCGAGAAGGCACGCAGTCAGCCTGGCCTGAGAAGTGTACCCTTTTTGTCCTCAATGTGCCTCCATACTGCACAGAGGTAAGCTGCTAGCATCTGGTGTGAGACCTACACTTTCTGGAAGGGGAGCTCTTATGGCCCTGTCACACCTTGGGTGGTGAGATGGAAATGCCCCACTGGATGGTATCTCAGGTCGCCTCTGTTGTCAGAAAATTGATATTTACGAGTTTTTAAGGGGCTGAGGATGTGGCTTAGTGGTAGAGTGCTTGCCTAGCATGCATGAAGCCCTGGGTTCGATTCCACATATAAACAGAAAAGGCTGGAAGTGGCTCTGTGGCTCAAATGGTAGAGTGCTAACTTTGAGCCAAAGAAGCTCAGAGGGCTGGGAAGGTGGCTCAGTGGTAGAGCGCTTGCCTTGCATGCATGAGGCCCTGGGTTTGATTCCTCAGCACCACATAAGAAAGAAAAAAGCCAGAAGTGGCACTGTGGCCCAAGTGGTAGAGTGCTAGCCTTGAGCTGAAGAGCTGAGGGACATTGCCCAGGCCCAGAGTTCAGGCCCCACGACCGGACCACCCCCCCCCCCCCAAAAAAAAAAATTATAAATAAATAAGAAGCTCAGAGACAGCGCCCAGGCCCTGAGTTCAAGCCCCACCCCAGGACTGGCAAAAAAAAGAAAAGAAAAGAAAACCAAGTTTTTAGAAATTGTTAGGAGCTGAGTGCCAGTGGCTCATGCCTGTAATCCTAGCTACTCAGGAAGCTGAAATCTGAGGATCACAGTTGAAAGCCGGCCCAGGCAGCAAAGCCCATGAAACTCTTAACCTCTAATTAACCACCAGATAACGGGAAGTGGTGCTGTGGTTCAAGCTGAAGAGCTCAGGGACAGCACCTAGGCAAAAAAAAAAAAAAATGCACAGCTTTGAATTCAAGCCCCATTACTGATACAAAAAAATACAAAATAAGACAAGCTTTAGGCGTACGGATGTACAGCTCTGCATTCCACACACCAGATGAACCCTTGTCACCATCACATACCCCGGAGGTCCCCTAAATTCCATCCTACCAAGGACCACTGCCACACTGACCCAATACCGTTGACGTGGTTGTATTTGACTCAGGTAGTAAGCGCAGCTGTCTTACAGGATCTCAGTCACACCGGAAATGTCTCCTGTGTTGTGATGCCCACAAGGCAGACCTGGACTCGGAGTCCTTCCCAGCCCTGGCTCCCTGGCAGGGCCACACCGGGGTGGGAAGCCACTGTGGATGCTCACATGCTGCTTCCCTCTGTCCATGGCAGGAGCGCCTGGCACGTCTCCTGTCCCCCTGTGGCCCCATCAAGTCTGTGGAGTTGCAAGAGAAGCCAGACCTCACCGAGAGCCCAAAGGAGCCAGAGTCAAAGTTTTTTCAGGCCAAGAGTGTTCCGGTAGGCCTCCAAGGCTCAGGTTCCATTGGAACGGAGTGTGAGGTGGGGTGGGGGTGCAGGGGAGGGCTCAGCAGTGGAGCACATTCCCTGGAGCTCGGGATTGCTCTATGATGTCAGTGCTACGGCGCTGATCCTGTCCCAAAAGTGCCATGTGCTTTGTCTTCCTGCCTGCCCAGCCTCCTCCGGCCTCCGCCTCCAGCACTGTCCTTTCCATGCCCGGGTTCTTTTAGACCTTCCAGCACTGAGGAGTCTTGTGACGTGAGCAGCCTGTGGTCTGCTACAGGCCTGGCTTCCATAAGCTCACCCTGGCCAGGGCAAGCCTGCGTCTCACCAAGTTCCTCAAACCGGAAGCAACCGGAAGGAAGGCCCCTGTGCGCCCTCCCTGGGGAAGTGCGTGGAGAGCCAGGAAGCATGGCTGCCCTCACCTGGCCTGCAGATGCTCTCTGCCATCCTGGTGGCTCAGGAGCAGCCTGGTGCCATCTCCCCAGGTCCAGTGATTGCAGGGGAGGGGACCGGCTGCCGGCCCACACTCTGCCCGCCTTCCCCACAGGGGTTCCAGGTGGCCTACGTGGTGTTTCAGAAGCCAAGTGGCGTAGCTGCTGCCTTGAACCTGAAGGGCCCTCTGCTGGTCTCTACAGGGAGTCACCCCGCGAAGAGCGGTGTCCACAGTCAGTACCGGCCCGTGTGCCGTCCCGTGCCCTGCCTGCTGTGTGTCCCATGCCCCCGCCTGCCATGCCATCCCGTGCCCTCAGTGCCGTCCCGTGCCCTCTGTGCTATCCCATGCCTGCCGTGCTGTCCTGGGCGCTTGAGTTCCCTCTGTGCTGTCCTGTCCCTGCATGCCATCCCATGTCCCCTGTCTGCTCTGCCATCCCGTGCCCGCTGTTCTGTCCCATGCCTGGGCCCTGGGTTGGCAAGAGAAACCCTTCAGGGGCTGGGGGGAGCATCTGTGGACATCACAAACCAGGCTTCTCCCCTAGAGCAGCACACAGGTGGCCAGGGTCTGGGCGCTGGGCGGGCAGAGGTGAGTGAGGGCCACCAGTGTGCTGTCCCGGGCCAGTGTCAGAAGACACCAGCTTGACCGGCTACTTCTGGGGGCCGGATGTGTGGCTGAGGCAGCTGTCCCTCCATGCCCTCTCCTGTCAGAGTGGATCAGTGACTATAAAGACGCGGTGCCCGACCCCGAGGCTTTGCGGGAGGAAGTGGACACGTTCATGGAGGCCTACGACCGGAAGATAGCTGAGGTAGGGGTTCGTGTGGAGACCCGGGGGGGGGGCGCGTGCCGCTGTGGGAAAGTGGCCACAGCACTGTAGGATGTCTTGCTCGGGGCCAGTGGTTGCAGCTGGTCCCTGGTTGCTGTGTGGAGCGCGGGGCCGCCTGGCTGGGCGGCATCGAGTGTCAGTGGTCGGTGGGGGGAGGGGAGTGCGGCACAGCTCTGGATCTCCACGGTAAGGCGAGGGGCGAGGGGCAGCTCTCCTGCCGAGGCGCGCGCAGCCACCTGTGACTCGTGCAGGAGGAGAGCAAGGCCAAGGAGGAGGAAGGAGTCCCTGACGAGGAAGGCTGGGTGACGGTGACGCGCAGGGGCCGGCGCCCTGTGCTGCCCCGGACGGAAGCTGCCAGCCTGCGCGTGCTGGAGAGGGAGAAGCGGAAGCGCGCCCGCAAGGAGCTGCTCAACTTCTACGCTTGGCAGCACCGCGAGACCAAGATGGAGCGTAAGGGCCACCCCGGGCAGGCAGGCGGGCGCGCGCACAGAGCCCAAGGCTGCAGGGTCCCAGGCAGCACAAAATACCCAGCAGCTGGAGCCCCAGCTGCAGCCTTGCGGGGGTTGGGGGTGTCTGTGTGCCCTCCCATGAGTAGCACTCCCTGCCCACCACCTGGTCTCCTGCTTCTGGCCTGGGTATGGGGACCCCCCCCCAGCTCCCATGCTGTCCCCAGACCCTGAGCTCAGGACAGCTCCAGAGCCTGTCCTCCCTTGGCTCCACACCCCACCCACCCTCTGAATTTGGTGGCATTGGGGTCCCCAAATTCCTGGGCTTCTGACTCCCGGGGAAGGGCCTCTCGGTGAGTTTTGATTGAGGCAGGCTGCCACCTCCGCCCCTAGCCTGCAGCCAGGGCAGCTCCCTGTCCTTGCAGGACCCCTAGCAGGCCCCAAAGCTGAGAGAGGACCGGGAGAGTGCCCTCTAGTGGGGACAGCGGGCAGCTGTCTGACCTGCCCCGTGTCCCCTCGCCCCAGACCTAGCCCAGCTGCGGAAGAAGTTCGAGGAGGACAAGCAGAGGATTGAGCTGATGCGAGCCCAGCGCAAATTCCGACCCTACTGAGGCCAGCGGCCGTGCCCTGGACCGCAGGTGGTGACCGGGCGCAATGTAAGGATCTGAGGGCCAGCGGGGCCTGGGACTATGCGCCACGCCCAGGGCCCATCAGTACAACAGCCCCGCCTGGCATCCACCCGGGCTGGAGCATCCTCAGGATGTGGCCTTCAGGAGGCAGTTCCCCCGCCCGCCTGGAAACCTCCCTTCAGGAAGTCAGACTGACCATCTGCCCTTCCTCCCTTGCCGTGAAGCCGCCTGGACAGCCGTGAGAGGACAAACCTTTTACGTCCATCCAGCCTGACAGCAGCAAAGACTCCAGAGGCCATCCTAGCCCCGGCTTCCTTCAGCTCCACCGGCTGACCCACGCCTCACTCCAGAGCGGCCCCCACGCCTGCCCCGTCCCCTTGAGGTCTCAGGTGGGGACGCTGGAATTCTGCCCCCGACCTGCTTGGGAGTTTCTGCTGCCCAACTTAGCCTTCAAGATCAGCAAGGCCCGACCACCCTGCGCGCTGCGTCCGCTCCGCGGGAAGGAGCTGACTATGCCCGCTGCGCAGGCAGCCGTGTTCATGAGGATGCGGTGGTGCCTTCCACCGCCATGTGCTGGAACTACTCCAGGAGGCGCGGGCTCAGGTGGCCAGCCACCACGGGGCTCTCCCCTGGCTGCGGTCCCCACTGCCTCAGGAACCCCCACGGGCTTGGAGGCCACCCAGCGGCCCGGGCACACGAGCTGTGCCAGGGTAGCTCAAAGCTGGGCCATGGTGCGGGTTGCTGACTGCACAACCCTTTCTTCAGAGGGAGCACGGGCAGGTTTCAGACGTGCTCCCTGGGAGAGGCTGGCCTTCTGGGAGGGCATCAGGTGTGTGCCGCAGCACAGGCCCAGACTCCACCATGGCCTCCAAGTGCCGATGCTCCCAGCTCCCCGGCAGGGGTCACACTGACCACACTGGCCCCCCGCCCTGTGGCCAGCACCCCACTAGTGCTGGGAGCAAGGGGTGGGCCTGGCCTGGCAGCACATGAGGTCAATAAATCTGGACGATTCTGCACTGTGTGTGACCCCAGGGCTAGGGCTAGCGCCATGGGGCGGGTCTGCTGACTCCTTGGGGGCAGCAGTGAGGGGAAGTCCCCGAGCCCCACCTCCACTGTGAAGAACTGCACCTCCTCCTCTGTGCCGTCCTTCCCCACGCTGTCCTCTGCACAGCCCTGTGAAGGGAGGGGTGGGACTTCCCCGGGCTGCCGCTCCATTTTCCCACCGCCAGCTCCTTTGAGCCAGACAACCTGCGGTTCAGCTGTCAGTAGCAGCCCACACCCAGCCGGCCCTGGGCCGGCACAAGCAGAGTACTTCCCCCATGGCCAGCCAGGGGGCGGCGGTCCCAGGCCCTGTGCGCACCACTGGCAGTGGAGCCGAGCCGCGGGAGCACGGCTGCCTTGCTGTCTCATATTTGATTACACAAGTCACGTGCTGCTGACAGTATGCCATCTTGTGGCATTGTGTGTGCTGGTTCTGGGGCTTGAACTCAACGACAGGGCACTGTCCCCAGATCATTTTTGCTCAGGGCTAGTGCTCTAGCACTTGAGGCACAGTTCCACTTCTAGCTTTTTGGTGGTGAATTGAAGTTAAGAGACCACAATCCTCAGATCTCAGCCTCTTGAACAGGATTGCAGGCATGAGCCATCAGTGCCCAGCTGGTGTGTGTGCCCGATGGATCCTGAAGCTTGAACTTGGCCTTGGCATTCTCCCTTTTTATTTTTTTGCTCAAGGCTGTTGCTCTACCACTTGACCCCAGATCCACATGGTTTTTTTGGTGGTTAATTGGAGATAAGAGTCACAGACTTCCCTGCTTGGTCTGGTTTCTTGTGTAGGTACGATTCCTGGTGTGAGCCACCAGCACTGCCTTGTCTAGTGGTTTTTATTTATTTATTTTTTATCGGGCCTGGGGCCTGAACTCTGCGCCTGAACGCTGTTCCTCAGCTCTTCAGCTCAAGGCGAGTGCTCTACCACTTGAGTCGGCAGTGAGCACAGGTCCTGGGTCTGCCACTTCCAGCTTTTTCTGCTTACATGGTTCTGCAATGCAGTCTCAACGGACTAGCAGGGCTTTTGAACCGTGATCCTTGGTCTGTCTCCCAGGGACCAAGGATGACAGACCTGAGGCACCACACCTACCTTCAAGACCCTTGTATTTTTAGCCAGTGAACCTTCATGAAAACTGCAAATCCTGGTCATGTTACTCAGCCAGCTGCCATTTCTAGCTATTTGGCCAAAGGCAGAGGTGACAGGTTACTTGGAAACGTGGATTTCAGGGCTCTGGATCGCCCTTCCATGCTTCCCAGCTGGGGCTCAGGCTCCTCCACAGATTGCAGCCAAGCAGGGCCTGCCTGCCTTCATGGCAGTTTCCTTGAGAAAGAATACCCAGCCAGGGCGTTGCCCAGTGTTTCTGGTCACAGCACACAGTGGGTCCACACTGATGGTCCAGCCTCTGCAGCTGGACCAACCTGTCACCACTGTTCAGTATGGACGGGCCTCAGCTGTCAACATCTCAGCACACAGCGGCCATATGCCAAGGTACAAGGAAGCAGGTGGGAAGTGCATGCTAGTTCTGGAAGGCTGAGTAGGAAAGCCATCTTGAGCATTACATTTATCCTGGATCCAACCAGTTAAATAAAAAATGTGATTGGTCTGGGGGAGGGAGGCTCATGTGTGTAATCCTAGCTACTCAGGAGGCTGAGATCTGAGGGTTGAGGTTCAAAGCCAGCTCAGGTGGAAAGTCCATGAGACTCTTTTTTGTTGGTCGTGGGGCTTGAATTGTGGGCCTGGGTGCTGTCCCTCAGCTCTTCAGCTCAAGGCGAGCGCTCTACCACTTGAGCTACAGCGCCACTTCCGGTTTTCTGGTGGTTTATTGGAGATAGGAGTCTCATGGTCTCTCCTGTCCAGGCTGGCTTTGAACCATGATCCTCAGATCTCAGCCTCCTGAGTAGCTAGGATTACAGGCGTGAGCCACCAGCGCCCGGCTCATGAGACTTACCTCCAATGAACCACCAGAAAACTGGAAGTGGCGCTGTGGCTCAAGCAGTAGAGCACTCGCCTTGAGCTGAAGAGCTCAAGATACAGTGCCCAGGCCTGGAGTTCCAAGCCCCACAACCAAAAAAAAAAAGTCACTTTTCTTCCCGGGCTTTAAATCATGATCTGCAGGTATCAGCCCCCGAGTAGCTAGGGAGCCAAGTGTGAGCCGTCAGAGCAGCTATTTTTGTCTAGTTTTAGTTCAGGGGCCCGCGGTGTTCTGTAGTCATTATCAACATGATTACGTAAAATTACAGAGCAAGTAACACGTGAGGACCAGCTGTCCTGCGTGCGCAGGGCCCTGGGTCCAGCCCTTGCACGGGGAGAAAATGGTCTTAGGAAACGGAAGAGCCATTTGGCAAAAGCTAAAATCTTCCAAACCTCACCCTGCACACTAGGTAAACACTTCGGCAAATACTGAGCGCAAAACAGTATTAGAACCAAACATGAACTTTTAATGATGGGCCCAAAACCCACAGAATCAACTGCAGTAAAATAACTTTGCAGGAAAACAGACCGCTCTAAGCAAAGGCAAAAGTGTAGGGAAAGTTGTATTTATACTTCAGTCTCTCAGGGTGGGAAGAGCAGAAAAGCTCATGAGACTTTTTTTTTTTTTGTCTTGAACTCTGGGCCTGGGCGCTGTCCCTCAGCTCTTCAGCTCAAGGCGAGTGCTCTACCACTTGAGCCACAGCGCCACTTCTGGTTTTTTGGTGGTTCATTGGAGATAGTCTCATGGGCTTTCCTGCCTGTGCTGGCTTTGAACTGTGATCCCCGGATCTCAGCCTCCTGAGTAGCTAAGATTACAGGCATGAGCCACCATGCTTGGCGCTCGTGATATTCTTATCAACAATTATAAAAAGCGAGAGCTGTGGCTCAAGTGGTAGAACATCAGTCTTAAGCAGAAAAAGGCCAAGCAAGGGTACAAGGGCTTGACTTCAAGCCCCAGTACCAGCATGTGCATGTGCGTGCACGTGTGTGCACCTGAGCGCACACACATACATGGAAAGCAAAATTGTCATATATGGAAAGATCCAAAAGGAGGGCTGAGTGAAGAGAGGAAGGGGAAGAGGCTCCATGAGATTTCCTATTCTGTGATTCTTAAATCATGGGATTGAGCACCTCCTCAAAACTCAGTAGTAGTAAATTGAAAAGCCAAACAGAACGATGATTAGGCCGGCACACCTGCCCAGCCCCTTTGGAAACAACTCAACCCCGTAAGAAGGGAGCGCGGTGAAGGTGGGTGGAGGGCATCCGGCCTCTGCTAGACAAGACATGCTTGAATACAGAGGTGACTCTGGCAGAAAGAAAGCGATTATAGAAGCATTAAGGAGAGCGATTTTCTGTAATTATTAGGTTTCCACCCCCTCTAATTAGAGATTGTGGAACTCTTAGATGACAAATTTAGATGATAAATGTAATGCTTAATTGTTGATAGAGATTCAAGCCAGGCAGTGCAACTCAAATGCTTAGAGGAGCATGTAATTGGAGATTTTCTGCTTGTTACCCTCTCCGGTCACCTCAGACTAATGGATCCAAGGCCAGGCCCTGGGTTGCCCCGGACTCTCCCCACAGCCGCCATGCCCAGACGACCGGGCACTCCTGCCCTGCGGGGCCACAGGCCACCCGGCTCACACCCTCTTCCTTCCTCAGGCCTGGGCTCTGGCTGCTCAGAGCAGGGGAAATACTTCCCAAAGGAGGTTTTTAGAGGTAATCACATTGCTTTCCTGCCCACTTCGCCCCTTAACAGCTGCCATTGCGCCTGCGCCACCGCCACCACCTCCTCCTCCTCCTCCTCTGCCCCCTCCCCCTCTCCCTTCTCCTCCCCCTCCTCCTCCGGCTTGAACTCAGGGCCTGGGCTCTGTCCCAGGCTGCTTTGTGCTCAAGGCTAGTGCTCTACCACTTGAGCTGCAGTGCCACTTCTGGCATTTTCTTGGACTTTTCCTGCCTGGGCTGGCTTTGAATGCTGATCCTCACATCTCAGCCTCCTGAGTAGCTAGGATTACAGGCGTGAGCCACCGGTGACTGGCTCTGATCTCTTCTAGCTCAAGACTAGCATTCTAGCACTTGGAGCCACAGCTCTACTTCCAGTTTTCTGGTGGTTTATTGGAGATATGAGTCTGATGGACTTTCTTACTCAGGCTGGCTCCCAACCTCAATCCTCAGATCTCAGCCTCCTGAGTAGCTAGGATCACAGGCATGAGCCACCAGCACCTACCTTCATCTTTTTCTTTCTTTCTTTTTTTTGGTTGGTTTTAAGGCCTGAATTCTGGGCCTGGGCGCTGTCCCTCAGCTCTTCAGCTCAAGGCTAATGCTCTACCACTTGAGCCACAGCACCACTTCTGGCTTTTTCTGCTTATGTGGTACTAAGGAATCAAACCTAGGCGAGCTCTGTACCACTGAACCACCTTCCCAGCCCCTTCTTATCTTCTAAGAGTCCGTTTTCCTACACACCTAAGCAGCCCCAGCAGGCAGGGGGGGTGGGGGGACTCACAGCGCCATCACCCGTGGCTAGGACTCCACAGGGCGGCGGCTGTTCTCACACCCACACTACGCCCAGGGGGTGGCAAAAGCCTAGTTGGCTTTAGTCCTTCCACGTCTGTGGGAGACAGGGGCTAGTAAGCAAGGAAGGGGAGCAGAGACCGCCTTGGCAGGAGGGACCTGGCCAGGGACAGCGCTGGTGGGGCAGGTGGAGCCAGTTTGATCGGCTTGCATGATGGCAGCAACAGCGAAGTCAGTGTAGAACCAGAACTGGGATAGACCAAGTCAGTGTAGAACCGGAACTGGGATAGTGGTCCCGCAGGCCGCCTTGGCCTGGGACTGTTTAATTATGAACTCCTCTCTCCTCCTTCCCTAATTCTTCCCCTGTTTAAACCTGAAGCTCAGGTCTGTGCCCACACTGCAGACTGAATTGTTTCCATTGCCTCTTCTCCCAGCCCACAGTTGCTCAGCTACCAGAGTCAAGCTACCAGTCCAAGACTAGGACTCAGA